ATCACCAGTGACCCCTGTTTCCATCCAGGGGGTCCCTGTGGACACTGTGGAGGAGTATAAGTACCTGGAGGTGTACTTTAATAATAAGTTGGACTGGACCAGAAACACTGAGGCTGTCTACAAGAAGGGCCAAAGCCGACTCTTTTTCCTAAGGAGGCTGAGGTCCTTTAACATCTGCCGGACGATGCTGCGGATGTTCTATGAGTCTGTTGTGGTCAGTGCGATCTTCTTCACTGTCACATGCTGGGGCAGTGGGCTGAGGGTCGCTGACAACAACAGACTAAGCAAACTGATCAGGAGGGCCGGTGATGTCGTAGGGGAGGAGCTGGACACCCTGACGACCGTGGCAGAGAGGAGGATGCTGTCCAGGCTTCAGTCCATCTTGGACAATGTCTCACACCCTCTCTACGACACACTGGCCCAGCAGAGGAGCACCTTCAGCAGAAGACTCCTCTCACCCAGATGCACCACAGAGCGCCACAGGAAATCATTCCTGCCTGTGGTCATCAATCTCTACAACGCCTCCCTCAGAGAGTCAGACACCCCCCCTCTGTAATCTGACCTCAACGCGGACAACCATTTTTTGCACTTTTTGCACATTATTAAACTGTACATTTGATCTTTTATATATATATATATAGTTATATATATATATGTTCTTAATATATTATATGTTGTATGTATATCTGGAGTTTGTAATGAAAGTAATTTCCCCCTGGGATGATTAAAGTATTTCTGATTCTGATTTTGATTCTGATTCTGAAACAAACATTATTTTCTAATGGAATGGACTACTTTAGAAAATCCTCAGAGAGATTAATTTATAAGGAAAGTAATTAGTTTCAGTTATATTTAAAATAATTCACAATAAGCTCCATCTTAACCAGCTACAACAGTAAAATCCTGTTTTTACATGAATGCATCAGTAATAATAATATCATGTAAGACTACTTATCAGTCACATGGGACATTTTTCTACTTTTAATACTTTTTGTCTTTGGAAAAGCATTCATCTCACATTCACCAGTTCACCCAGTATCAGCAGTGTAGGTACCACTGCAGGTAGATTCACACAATACTGTGCACCAAACCAATTTACAGCTCTCAGAAATGTCCTTACACCACATTAGCTTTAATTATTTACAGTTGTACATGGGACACTTTAATTTAAGAGAAGGAAAAAAATGAGAGAAAAGTAAAAAGGAATAAAGAGTGAGCTATTAGATGTGATCAAAAATAATGTAAATCACATTTTATGGCTCTGATTTTAGTGACTTCCTTGTGACAGCCAGAAATATTTGTACAAATTCCTTATCATTGCTATTCCACCATTCAAATTAGATGTCACCCATGTGTACAGTAAAATGTCTACAAGGAATATCAACTCCAAATAGGGCACACACAGAGAACTTCCCACTGTGGGTTTTTACATATAGGCTATGTAAAGATGGGATTACCCCCTCCACCACTGCCCCAATGCAGCTGTAAGGACTGCAGGTACTGATGTTCTTAAATATCATCAACATCTGTCTCTGAGCAGCCAGCGGGGTCAGCCTCTTTTGCTTGGCAAGAATTCTTAAAACTAGCATAAAAATGTAGCCACTAAAACTAGCCAACATTCTTCTAATAAGACACCATTTCTTCAAACAGCATCGTAATAATAGTGACTTCGTTTGAATGAAGGCCCCAGAGACATTATTATATTCAATTATATCATATAAAAACTCAACAGCAGCTTCGTTTCCAGCACTGGGACAACACTACTTTGTCTCACACTGAGAACAAGTGGGCTTCCTCCTGATATGAGGGACATGCTGTCGGTCCTGTGCTGCCTGAGGGACATGTACTCTGTGTGTCTTAACGAGCAAAGTCAACCCACAGAGTTAGCATGTTGGACCTGCAGCCGTAGTTAAAGCCCACCTGAGACCGTGAGACCGGGTCCGCCTGCTGCTGAAGCCTCTCTGGAGTCTCCACCTGTAGGAGAACAGCAGCGCCCCCCTGCGGTCGCTACGGTCGCTACGGGCTCAGGGGCTTTTCCGGCGTAGAGAGTCGGCTCAGTGTCAGTCTCCACTGTGATTGGACCTTATTTTAGTGACGTCCTCGCGTTAACCGTATGATTGATAGAAAGGGCGTGGTCTAATGTCTATTTAAGATATTTATTTAGTTTTTGTTTTATATTTTAATTCATTCGTTTGTTTGTTTTTATTTTATTATTAATGCAAGATATGATGAGACATGAAAAGACAACACAAACAATGAAAGCAACAAAAAAGGCAGAAAAAACTAAAAGAAAAAGTAAGTTGCTAAATATATAGACACACACTTTTATATCTGCTGTCTCATATTGCACATTGAACACTGATGTTCAGTCATTAATGTGTTAAACAGTATTATTAGTATGTAAAATATGTTGTGTATGAAAAACTGTTTTTTTTATCAGTTTAGGCTCCTATATTCTGTATAATCATGACCATATATGTTATTTAGCACACATGGTGTGATAATACCTGTAAGTAATGATGTATACCTCAAGGAAACAACTTTTACTTTGTTTAAGGGGAAACACTACAGGTGAATAGAATACAAAACGTAACTTATAGATATCAGCATGAAACTTCTCCAGTTGATCACTCACATTAAGCCAATTCTAGTTTTCTGAAATGTTATGTTTAAATGTGCAAATGAGGCATTATCTAATTAGAAAATGCACAGATTTGCATACAAATTGTTTCCAGAACATAAATCTGAACATTGGATAAAACCAGGTTCAAAATTCATCTTCTCATATTCTGACATATTAAACTCAAAGGGTTTTTACAGAGGGATTGTTGGATACCTCTTTTTATCACTCCATTAATCAGCCATAAAAATGCATTTTCATGTTTTTAGGAATAAATGTGATATAAATCAGGCTGTAAATGATATAAGATAAGATAAGATAAGATATTCCTTTAATTATCCCCCTTAGGGAAAATTCAGGTTGACACAGCAGCAATAGGGCAAAGTAGTGAAAACAGAGAACAAAGAATACCACAATAAAAATATTACTAATATTATTAATATTAGAAGATATAAAACTATAAATGAAAGTATATACACTATGCATTGTTCAAGTAGGACATGGAGTGCAAAATATGAGCAGAAAATTAAACTTGACTAAAACTATAAAAATATACTGTACATGTGGAAATTAAACAGGTTTGTGCGTTGTAGGTAGGAGTTTTAAACCAGTCTTAGTCAGCGGGGGATGGAGGTACTGGGTGCTGTGGCGTTGTGGAGTCTGATGGCAGACGGAACAAACGAGCCTCCAAACCGCTTTGAGGCTCGGGGCTGGGTCAGTCTGTAGCTAAAAGTGCTCCTGAGCTGCCACAGCTCAGTGTAGAGAGGATGAGAGGGGTTGTCCATGATGGCTTTCAGCTTCCCTCTCATCCTCTTCTCAGTCACAGCCTCCACACTGTCCATTTCCATCCCCACCACCGAGCTGGCCTTCCTCACTAGCTTGCTAAGCTTGTTGTCACCCCCAGTGCCGATGCCTCCACCCCAACAAACCACTGCAAAGAAGAGGACACTGGCTACTACAGACTGGTAGAACATCTGTAGTAGCCGAGTGCACACGTTGAATGAACAGCCTGCTCTGTCCTTTCCTGTAGAGGGCCTCAGTGTGATGTTGATTGTCACCCCCAGGAACTTGTAGGTGTCCACCATCTCTACCTTCTCCCCCCAATCGCAACTGGGGAGGGGGTCCTCTTGCTCCGCCGGAAGTCCACCACCAGCTCTTTGGTTTTCCCTGTGTTGAGCTGTAGGTGGTTCCTGTATATGTGTGTGTATATATATATATATATGACCAAAGCCCTCTGTAAAAAGCTTCAGAATATGGATAGGAATAAAACTGGAAGGTTTGGTGTATGTAACTGCTGCTGAAGAGGAGATTTCTGACTAAGAGTGTGAGAAAAAACTCATTTTGAGAAAACAGCCTTTCAAAATATGTACGTACATGTAAGACACTACATGTGAACGGGGCAACATTATTGACTTAATAGATAAACTTCCCCAGTTGATTACTTAAGTTGAGACAATTCTGTTTTCTGAAATGGAAGGTTTAAATATGCTAACAAGGCATTATCTAATACAAACTTCTGGTGAAATCTACAGACACAAAAAAACCAGCTAAATGTGTATTTTGGGTGTTTTTTCTCACTAGTGTGAGAGAAGACAAAATGTCAAAAATTACCCAGTGCATGAAAAAGCTGTGTAACTTTTATTTATTTTTAATAGTTATAAATTATAAAACATTTAAATTATTACATAGAATACTCTGACTGTTTTGAAGGATAGGCTCATATTTCTACGGCCATTGTAATCGTCGTAGAAGTGATGACTCCAATATCTGTGATAGGAAACAAAATCCAGTCCTTATTCTGTGGAAACAGACATTCTCAAGTTCTTTCCAGACAAAACATGTTTGTAAAAAGGTTTCAACTAGCAATCATACGAAGGAGCAGGTTTTTGGTTGACACTTGATTTATGTCAACTCCATCAGATACACTGAAAAGCATTTGATTTGAATTGGCTCAATCCAATGAAGTTGATTAAAATGTGTGTTATACATTAATTTCACACTGAAATAAGTATCCCATTTCTAAATTCCTTCATTTTCTACCTTTCTCTAGTATTATACAAAGAAGTATGATCTAAAGTGACAGAATGAGGTGGTAAAACAATCCGTGAAACAATGACCAAGATTCAATACTTTTTTTTAAATTAAAGCCCATGATGGATAATGCTGGTGAGCTGAAATCCAGTCAGTGCTCAGTTTGCTTTAGATTTCACACATGAAGTAGTCTTCCACACACATTGTTTTCAGTGGGAATAATACAGCTGTACTCACAGGTTCAAGTGTGTGCCTACCTTTTTGGAGGACCTTAATAATTATGAAATGTACAGACAACAAGACCACAGCAATTCAAAACATGGACAGGACCTTTCAACAAAAACACAAATGCTTTGAATGTCCTTTAATTTATAGTGTCAGTTCATGTCACACTGTTAACAGATCTCAATAAATCATCACATATTGTACATCTTGTCTTTCTGTGACTCTTCCACACGACCTGAGATTGAAATCACAGTACACTCCAAGCCAATGTGGCAGAGTAGCATCAGCACAGTGTGTTGGCCTGTAGTGAATTTCCAAGGCCCGCTGCTCTCCAGTGTCTGTGTGTGACCCGCTGACTCTCAGTAAGGTTTCCCTCCAATGGCAGCGAGCAGCTCCTGCCTCTCGGCAGCAGTAGGCATGTCAGGTTTCACACCGTCTCTTCTCCTCTGCAGCATTATGTTGTGCTGCAAAGACAAACACAAAAGGCTCCGTTAGACATACAATACATACAATTTCTCATTTCTGCCGATATGGGTCTCTCACATCAAAACGATAAAAGGACGACAATATGAAATTGTGAAGTACTGTAGGATCATGGGAGTTGTGGTCTTCACTACCATTGCAGTCAGCTTCTCCCAGTTAGGATTCCTTCAGTGTTCATGGTTCAGGAGGTTTGTACCATGAGCCCAATTACCCACAGAGGTCTCCTCCTCTCCAAAACAAACAGACCCGCTGATTAAAACCACTAAACACACTGAATAAAGCAGTTCCACCTTAAAAAATCCCTATTTCTCCCACGCTGTTGGACAGACAAAGGACGTCCCGGAGAGGGGCTGTGAGCCGAGCTAATGCTAACATTAGCTCAGCTTGTTTCTCTGATAACTTAAGATCCAGACATCGATGACTAAAATCCTTCATCTGGTTGGAATCTAGAGTTAAAAAGCACCAAGATCTAAACAGTGGATGGTAACAATGGGGTTATAAACTGGATCAGAACCGAGAAAGATGGAAAGACGCTTTGGATTGGTGGTTTGAAGATAGTTGATTGTTGAGTCTCATTCCCAGCGTTGATGTACAACACGCTGGAAATGAGACTCAACAATCAACTATCCCTCTTGGCTCTGATTGGTTGTTTTTGTTTGGGCCTGGTAGATTCTTACTAATACCATTATTAACAAGAGGAACCGGATTCTTTCACAGATTATGTTTCATGTAAAGTTTCAGAAAATATGAAAAAATGTTTATTTTATAAAAGTTACCTATGCAGCCTTAAGGTAAAACAAGACGTCCCTTTAATTTGTCTCTGTGTATTGATTCATGTGGCATCATCAGTTCAGACTGGAGTCAAAGGAAAAAGGATGAAGGAAATGTTACAGATCTGCCCTCATCACTAGTGGCTCCAGCTCCTATTCTTTTTTTTTTTTATTGGTGACATGCAGAGGCTCAAGCACACACAGGAACTTGTGATACAGCTGCAGTAGTGCAGTTATTTTTTTCCACAACTAATTATTCATTTTCATAATTGACAGTTATTTTTTGCAATTCGACTATATAATCAAATTTAGAATATGCGTTGACAGTCCTAGAACTCTCTGCCATCATTACCAAATGGTTGATGAATTATTTGCTTGTTTCAGCTTGACCTGAATCTCAGTGTTTTTTCTTCCCACAACCGAATATTCATTTTCTCCATCAAATGTTAGTTTGGGGTTTTTCTGCACTTTTATAACATTATCAAATTTAGAATATTCGTCCTCAACAATTCATCATACAAATTACTAATTTGTTTTAATTTTTATAACTCAATCAATTTTCATTTTGCTTTTAAAGGCAGCATATCTAAATTTTATTCTACAACCTTGTAAATGACAATAAAATAACCTTAAATCCTTGGATCCTTTTGTGAGTTCTAAGACTTTCTGGAGTGCAGTAATAAATCACTGCAGAGCTCTATTAAGGTTTTCACAAAGAAAACTTCCCTACTTAAATTTGATCACAAACCTTTTATTGGACAAAGATAAGGACAGCTAATGCTTAAAGGCCCAGTGTGTAGTGGTGTCTAGCAGTGAAATTGCAGATTGAAACTAACTGAACACCATTCGCGTCTGTATCTGACAACCTGAGAATGAGAGCAGGCTGTATGTAGGAGAAACTACGGTGGACGCCAAACTTCCAAAAAACATGAAAGGCTCTATCTCATGTAAAAATATAACCTGCACAATGTCTTTAACGCTCTTCCCCCACCAGTTTACTCAGTTTGTTGTTTTTGATGCTGGAAACAATCATACTCACCCAGTATTTCCTACAGTTCTTGTATCTCTGGAAATAGGCAGAACACATGCTCTTATTGTAGCTGGAGGCATCCAAACACTTGTGGGAGGCGTCACTTTCCTTAAAGAGAGCAGTTCCAACAACAGGACAGGATTAGAGACACTTACGTCCCAGCTGCAGGCAGATGTTTGACACAATGCAGGATGTCAAGGGTCAGGGCAGGCTTACGTCGATGCATGGGTTAATGTCCTGATTCCGAAGCTTTCGTGTATTTTTATCCATTTGGATCTGTGTACAGATGTACAATATAGACAGGTTTAGTTTTGTTTCTCAGAAGTAGGGTGATAACACTGCTTAACAGTAAAATGTCAAATGATCATAATTCTAATAGTTGTTTTTTTTAAATTAAATTTGTGATGCAAAAATGATCATTCCCACACTATGTGGGAAATTGTGTTTTTACCATACTGTCCAACCCTATTTTTAAGACCATAATGAATGCAATTTAAGACCTATTTTATGTCCACACTAGCAAAAACCCTTTTAAAAGTGAGACTTGATACAAGAAACATTAACTTCAATATCTGATTACTGAATTTTAGACTTTTTAAGACCGTGGGGACACCCTGTATACTGTATGAACAACTGAGAAATTCAAGACAAGAGACAATATGTTTCTTCTATGGTGGCAGCATTTCATTAAATGGACATTTTAGATGGTTCATGCATCATCTTATACAAAAGCTTTAGCCTGACATGTTGGAAACTTTCTCCATTTGTCCACACACTTTTGTAATGATGGAACCACATGTGGGTCTGGCAACTGAGGAGGCTAACAGACCCCTTGTCTTCAATTCAAATAGTCACTAATCACCTTTTTGGGGCCAATACCAACCTGATAATTGAGAGTAAAAACCGTACGATAAGTATGATGTTTTTAATAGAAACACGCACGTAAACAAAGAATTTGATAAGGATCCCTCAGATTTGTACTGTACTGCAATTATATGTTATTTGTCAGCCAGAATACAGCTACACTGAAACTGATGTACCTGTGATAAGCTACCACGACACTATATCTGCCAGGCTCTAATTCTGTCTGGGGACGTATTCTTTCCAGTCTATTATTAGATATTGTATACATGTCTGAGGCTGTTGAATATTTCATTTAGATTTTACAAAGCTCCAAAAGGTTTTGGCAGATATCACTGAAATAATGTGATGTTTAACTGCAACCTTTTTCACGTCTGTCAAGCTCGTAGACTTTACGCAGTTTACATTCATAGTGCCACAGTCCATTTAACTACAGTTTAACCTTCACCTTGCTATCACTAACCACACTGTGTGTTGGTGGAATAGAAATTTGTATTCATTATTTCTATTTAAATGATTTCAGCTTGATGTGTAAAATGTCTGCCGAATTGAAGACTGACTCTCCCTTTTGTACATAATATATTTATTCGTACCGAGCAGGGGTGTACATTTTACAATAAACACGTCTTACTTAAAATGCAAGATTTCTCAACGGAGTTTGGCGGGGCTGGGTGACCCCCACCACATGTAACGTTGCTACATTGTAACAAACTGCCCTTCACTGATCTTACGTAACTTCGTAGCGGCTTTTTAGTTAGCCTAGGTGGAATGACTAACGTTAGGGGTGAACGGAGAACCTTATACCTACCTTTTACAAACAGGCCTACCAACTCTTATTCCGGGTAGGCTAATCACTTGTGGATGCACCTAATATCCAGTGAAGGTTATCCCGTTTTTTAAATGAACAAAATAACTAGCAAGCCTATACACGCATGCTATTCAAAAAAAGATGTTGTCATTCATATCCCTTAGAATGCCAACAAGGCTCCAGAACGCTAGCGAGCAGCTATACACTACATGTGGCTAACTAATAAAGCTACACAAGCCACAGACTATAACCTCCCCGTCATGCTCAAGACAGCCCCAGCGTCGTTACTGCAACAGCGCACCAGGAAAATCACCCACATCGTCACCAACAACTGACAGCAACGTCAGCCAATAGGAGCCCCGGAAAACTAACAACGTAGACTGACACGCTAATGAGCCAATAGGATTTATTGGCTGACATGTTGGTCTTCCTATCGTTGTATATTGGACTAAACCAAGTTTAAACGATTGACAGTACATCTAGCAAGTCCAAAAATTGAGTTTTATTGAAAGAGACTGTAGCTGACATTGAAGTGAAAGTGGCAGCGGCTTACACAAATCAAAAAGCACAAGTGGGCGGAACTTCGGGTGGGCGTGGCTAAACCCTAGTGCGGTTGCATCGCAGCGCATACACAATGGCTGCTCGAAAGAGAGGAAAGCAAACAATTTTCAGGCCCGCCGCGTCTAGCAAAAAATATGAGAAAAAAATTATTAAAAATTCGGAAAATAGTTGAAAGTCAAGAAAAACTCAACAGAAAGGATGTTAAAGCGCCCGGGGTAAGTTTGATGTAAATTAAGCAAGCGGTCACTCAGTTTTTGAATTAAAATATCGGGGTTATTTAAATTATGAGAGAGGGGTGAGCTGGGGAAAAGTTTGTGTTAATCAGTACCCAGTTTGGGACCACAGAGAAAACCAAGGGAAGGCAAAAGTATTGAAGTTTTTAAATCAAATAAATAATGTCACCGGTGATAATAGTGTCACGGTGCGTGTCCACGAACATTAAAGAGCACAGGAACCAGCAAAATAAAGCAAAGTTAAGTAAAGTTGAACATAGCCTCCCCACTTAGTTTATTTTTTAAAAATATAATTACAACGGCAGTGCGATGAGCACCGACAGCAGCAGGCGCACTTGAAACCAGCAATAATGTCAATGATCCTGCTATCCGCATTCCCATTTATTTTCGCCTCATAGAAGTTACACTCTTCATCATAAGCGGTGTCAACACGTCCTTATCGATTCAAGCATCTCCTTTCCAGAACGCCAAACGCAAGCGTGCAGCGGCCACACTGACGTTGTGTCACTGTCTTTTAGGCTATGTGCTAGATCGCATTTCCACCCACTGCAGGTATCGATCATACATGTGACAGTTCGGCTGTGACCCGCCGTAAGGCTGACAAACAAGAAATTGCTTGTCAATAAAGTAGCAAAATGGAGGGAGAACTTAAGGCAAACTAATTAGGCAGCAGTGTTTAAGATCTGCCTGAGCCTCCGCCTGTCGCAGACTGCTTCTTCTAACGCCAAAAGTCCCATTGTGTTGAGTCGGGTCGGGGTGGCAGGTTGCACTGTGAAATTCCTATTTACAAGATGTGCTCCTATAGCTGCCAGTGGAGCCCACAGGAGCCTGTCAGCTCAACACAAACTGTGGATAGCACATGTGTTATTGTGTGTGTTGTTGTTGGTTAGAAAGCTTCAATTGCAACTGTTCCTGAGGGGAAGTGTGTCAATGTTGGTCTCTGTTTACACCTGACCCATACCTTAAAGCAGACCTGAACTCTCTGTTGTGTAGCTGCCCTGGCAGGATATTGACTCTTTTAGAGAATGGCTGCTGATTGAATGTGTTTGTGTTCATCAATAATATAGTCCTGATGTGGAATCAGTCCCTCCAGGAAGTTGCAATCACAACAAAAAGTCAAATTCAACCAATTTTTGTGAATTCCGCTCAACCTTGCAATTTTATCCACTGACCAAAACTTTTCCCCAAATTCGACCAATCACTGTAGCTTCCTGTGAGTTTCACCAATCATAGCAGTCCCCTGCACACATTGCACATACATCACCAAACTACTAGCAATTCTGGTCTCACTGGAACAGCTTGGTTTAGATTTTTAATGAATCAAACAAAAAAATCACAACTATTTTTGCAATTTTCAGTTTCTCCTGCAATTTCATTGCAAAAAATCCCTAGAAACGTTGTCACAGCTGCAGTGAAATCAGACATTTTAGGCCACAACAATCCCAAAACAATTCTGCGAAATTCTGGACAGACAGTGCAATGCTATAGCAGATAAACAGGTTTGCATGAGAGATGCTTCACACCAGACTTTAAATGCTATCCAGGCTAACAGAAAATGTTGTGTGGGCTATGTTTGATTTTTTTTCGAAGGAATAATGTTGAGATTAAAAACCTGTAATCTGTAAGATTTGCATGTATGGCTATAAATTCCTGCTCAATTCTCATAGTCATGAAACTTTGATCCTTAACAGCTTATTGAGTTTCTTTTTCTATTTAAGCATTATATAAATGTTGATAAATGTTTTAAGAATTTCAAGAATTTTGGTTTTCTCTGCAGTATAATTCCTGTGTTACTTTTTACAAGCCTCCTGCCTGCCTGGGTTATTTTTATATAAATGCACCGAGTCTGAAGCAGTTTTATTTCTTGTCCCGACTGCAGCCGTGATTAGGCAGAAATGTTTTTATGTGCAATATGATCCTGCTGTTGTGAACATGTGTTTTCAGCTAAATGACAACTCTCCCTAAACACAGCTCTTGTAAAACATCAACTACTGGGCTTTTTGTCTTGAAATAAATATTTTTTTAACTTTAATTTACATGAAAGAAATTTCCACAAAATGATGATAATTTGGAAGATATTTAGGATTTGTTTCTATATCTGTTGATAAATTCTATTTAGTACATAAAGTTGAGACAAGCAGCTGAAGATACAGAATGTATCAGTGTTTTCTTATAATCATTAATGTTATTTAAAATGAACAGAAAACTGACTTTTTAGCAGAACAAAATATGAATTATAAAATGCATTAAATGTGTTATGCTGAAATGTTTAAATTTAGGCTCAGTATTGAAAATTAAATAATTTAGCTTTTTTGCTAAAGAATATTTACTTTTATTTAGGTTTCAACCACTGGTAAGTCTTAATTATTGCAAAATAGTTTACTGTTATCCATGTGGTTATTGGCAGCCGTTTAGTTCAGTTTCTGTCAGTTATGAATCACTGCAGACAATTAACTCTTCATCTCAATAGCAAAAAGAGCGACTCCTCAGCAACTCTTGTTCTTTGAAGTTACAGACCATTTTAAATAAAATGACATGAAATGAAATATATTTTTCCTTTCCACAATCAGAAGGAATAATGGGATATCTTTCTTTATGTAATTGTGATGCATTCGCAGTGTGCTGCTGTTCACCAGTACTAATGAATGAGTATTTTTAAATTTGCTTTGCAGAACAGATGCAGATCATGCAAACTATGCTGGCTAATAATTCTCTATGTGTGAATTTTGAGTCTTTTCAATAATAATATCATATGAGAATGATGGCAGATGTGATCTTGTCTGTTTGTATTCCTCTCTGCTGGATATTTATTCAGCACAGTTGAATCTATTTTTTATTCATTTAAATGTTTCTTGTAAAACTTGTTCAGGAAAATTCTGTAGACTTCTTTGTTTGAAATATACAATTAATTATTTCAAGCTAACTTGTTTTATTCCTTTGTCCTTTTATGGAATCTCAGATATCAGTTAATAGAAGTTTCTAGATGGTTCAGTCTGTAGTGGGAGCTGGTTCACTGTGTGTGAGCTTTCTGGAAAAAAGCATTTTATCTAAGGATGAAGTGGTTTTGGCTACAGGGGTGTTACAGATTACATCTAAAGCACCACTGGCAGCCATTTTTAAAATATTTGCGTTGTGGCAGCAGTAGGATGGAGAGGTCAGTGGTCAGTCTGTTGAGACCTCCATGTGATCATCTCTTCTGGATCTCATCTCGACCTTGCAGAGGGGTCAGAAGTATCAGATTAGATCAGAACGTACCTGGTATTAGTAGTTGTATCTGTAGTATTACTTTTCTTAATATTCTTATTATTATTCTTATTATTATTATATACCTACATGTGTCCATATAACTTGTACATTTCTATATTAATTCCAACTATGGATTGGAATTAATAAGATTTTATTGATACCTATATAATTCAGTTTGATTCTTTGTCAAATCCCTTACTGGTTCCTGATCAGTTTTCTGTGTGGAAACAAGTCACACTGCAAAAGTTTTCAGTGTCAACACAACTGTTTTATTATCTGAGAGTCTGAACACTGTGTAGAAGCAGAGTAGAGTTATAGTAGTGTGAGTTTCTTTGGACCGTTTCTTCCTTTCTTGTTGAAAGTTTCCAGCAGCGTAGGCATGAGTTTGATGTCACTATTTTGCAATGTGCAACTGTCAGAAAAACATGCAGGCATTGATAAAAGGAACTGATCAACTCGGAGACATACTAATAGATATGACAATTTGGAACTGGTTCTCAATAGGAACCAGCTCTCAATTCCCATACTAATTTCCAACGCAGAACCTTGCCAAAGCGGTACATAACATCAGCATACAGGATGTACTACTACTACTAGTTGGCAGGAGGGGGGTAAATTGTTTTAAATTGTTTTAATGATGTGGGAATGTGTGTATGCATAACTTTGTAATTGAAATTTTGCACAACTGTGAATTTAGTAACTGTTTTTAATTTATTGTATGTTCCATCTACCTGCCCAGGGACTACGGGTGGAAAATAGCAACTTGCTAAAACCCGGTGCAATGCATCTCTCCTTGTTATATGCAGGGTTAATATTTTATTGTGCACTGTCCCTGCTCAAATAAAAGAAATAATAATAATAATAATAATATTATACTTGAAAATACAGTATATTACTGGGTATTGCCAGTATACATATTACATTTGGATATATGGTTCTAGTTTTAGTTTAATTTGTTAGTTTCAGATTTCCGTTTGTCATATATTATTTTGATTGTCAACCACCATGAGCATCCTCTCATCTGTCTGCCTGTCTGCTTTCCATTCATTCCATTTCCACACTGTATGACATTTGGCTTGCAGAGTCATTGCTTGAAGTAAGCCGATTCATCACAGTAGTTCAACACTATAGCATTAACGAGTTGTGCTGATATGCTGGTGTTTTAATGACTGTCCATCCTATGTGTCACACTTAGATGGGATTTCGTCATTAAATGATTTTGTTTTACAAAATATGTGCAGTAACTACAGAATGATAAAATCAAGACTTTTAACGGTACATTCTCTAACCAGCTTCATTGTGAGCTTGGCAGGAATAAGTCAGTCAAGCAGTCTACAAAGATTACTGATTGTAAGGCCCCTGTAGGATGTCTCACACACTGGGGCTTAGGAGGAAGAGCCTCCATTGAACACAGGGTTGGATCCCCCGTCCACGTGTCCATAGTGTCCTTGGGCAAGACCATTGACAGTATGTACACTGAACCCCCAATTGCTCCAGATGTTCAATGCTGCCAGAAGTACTGCCCTGCAATGGCTAACCGCAACGCTAACAATGATAGTGAGAAAGGTTTTTTTGACTGTCCAGCCAAATGCATTATAGGTAAGATAGCAGTTATGGGCGTATTCTACATTCCTTTTCGTGGCTTAAATACCATGACTCTGCCTTTGTTTTTCCTCAAACAGATACATAGGTAGTGCAAAGGCAAAGTGCAGTAACTGTAGTCTTATTGTCTCATTTCTGTGAAAATCTAATTAGATTTCTTGTTACATTATACCTGTATTTAATGGTTTTATTGTTTGCATGTTTAAAAAGTTGAAATAGATAAGTAATTAAGAAAAATTCATACAATCTTTAAGTGTTCTTTTAAGAGGTGTTACCTATTAACATGGCTTGACAGATTTGTTTAATTTTACAATTTATGAAATCCTCTTTTTTTAGAATTCGATTTTTGTCTTAACATGAAGTTCTGTAAATTGTGACTTACCTACATAATATGCAGTATAACACCCAATTATGGCTGTACTATCTAAGATTCCCTTCTTTCGATTGTCCTGAAATTGGATTTACAGACACTGAAGCTTTATTCATGAATGGCTGTCTCAAGCCACAGTAAGTGCACTTATGCGGTTTGTCTTGGTTTTTGGTGGGACTTTGTCCTTAATGCAATTTTAAATAATTTTTTGAACTTTGACAATTTGTTAGTTACTAGTAGCAGTATTGCATAATTAAGTGTACACTTCTGCAAATTAAAAAAGGGGTAAATGGTAATATAGAATTCATATATGTACACCAGTCTTCCACTAATTCAGTTATGATCATATACAGTACCCCACCACCAACTCCTGAGCTGAGGGAAACAGACAACTACCTAAAACAGTCGACACCTAACAAACAAAAATAGAAAATACGTGAGGTATACATATTATCCACATGAGCCCACATACTTCACATACATACACATACATTATAAGTAGTGACAATTCATTATTGATTCATTCATGTACTTCTGGAGCCCAATTTGTAATTCATCTTCTATATATAAATTCTGTTGAATTTGCAACAGGAAATACGTTTTGATTGAAACGTAATGCCACCCTGATCGTTTTTTTATGAATGTGCCAAAACACAAATTTTACAACATTCCATCTGTGACAACTAAAGAATAATGACAGTTTCTGGTTAAGACAAGGGAAAGATGATGGTCTTGGTTTAACCCAGCGAGGGAAAACTGCACTGAATGGATATTATGGCCAGAGACGTGATGGTCTGGTCTCTGCCCTCAGTTGAGCCAAATCACTGTAAACTGAAGGCAACTAGAGAACAAAACTTTATTTAATTTTATTTATTTATTCTGAGTTTGCAGTTTATTAGGTACACCTAGCTAAAGCAGTCTAATACAACAGTCCTTTAATAAGTCTTACCTTCATGAATGTTATATACATTATACAGAGAAGTTTGTTATTTAGCCTAGCCTCGCTGACATAAATGGGGCTGGACAAAGTAATAGCTTTGAGTGTAACACAGTTTGACCCTTTTAGAATATTGGTCAACTTTCCCCTTATGATGAAAAGACAATCAAATTTAGTATATAGTTAAAAAATAAAAGCTGCTTTATTCCTGCTTTAATTAGGTGTGTGTGTGTGTGTGTGTGTGTGTGTGTGTGTGTGTGTACTAAATATAGGAATGATTTATTTTCGTTACCTTAAAATGAGCTGTTTTTATCTACAGAAGAAGCCATGTTGAACCACCATGTTTCTATAGTAGCCACTGAGCTGTGAGACACTGAATGTGGCCGGCATTGGTACTGCGTGTTTGGTTGGTTTCTTGTACTAAAGAACTTTATGTCTCTGTGTTGTAATTGCTGATGTTGTGCTCCATATTAGGTATGAACTATTGTTTTTCTGTTTCTGTTTTACAGAGTGTAAGGTTTTGATTTACTACTGATGTTTTATCTTTGTAACCGGCACATCACTAGTGATCTCCACCCAGGGTCTACAGGTGAAAAAGAGCTTTTAGCTCAGTCTGGTACAATCCATGTATTGTACATGGTGTAATAATACCACTCTTATTTATAGCCAACTGCTTTAAATCAATAGATAGTATATATTTGTTATTTGTGTCTTACAGCTTTGGAATTTATTATTTCCCCAGCAGGTATCATTATTTGAGTTCATGTCACAGTAAGACCTCCACTCATGGTTCTGATTATGTTGCTTGTAATTAAGAACCCCTCCTCTGTCACATGAACGCACTCTGAGCTGTATTGTAAAAGCCAGAGTTAACTGAGCCACTTGATAACCAACTTCATGATACCAATTACCCAGGACCACCAGTGTTAGACTAAGTTAGGACAGGTAAGAGCCGTTACACAGGCCTCAGAACAGTGTTTGTGATTTATTTTGATGTAGTCTTTTGCACTGCCAGCAACCTGAAACTGAACCATTCAGATAATCTTCTCTCTCTCTCTCTCTCTCTCTCTCTCTCTCTCTCTCTCTCTCTCTCTCAGGCCCCTGAGTCCGGGCAGTGTTGAGCACATAAAACTGGATAGAATAATTGCATCAGTACTAGCTGGCCGCTGTGCCCTTGTCCATGTAGCTGGTCTCCCTTAGAGTGCCATGGCCACGGGAACCCAGGGCCACCGTGACCACGTCCTGGAGAAAGCCAAGCTCGCACCGCCCATGGGGAGGCGCAGGAGAGCTGAGGGGAAGCCGAAGAAGAACTTCCTCTGCCAGGACTGTCAGAAAGCTTTCAACAGCCTGGAGAAGTTGAAGGTGCACTCGTACTCTCACACAGGAGAGAGACCCTACTGCTGCTCCCACCCTGACTGCACCAAGGCTTTCGTCTCCAAATACAAGCTGCTACGGTACAGACAAGCAGCAGTATATAGCAGGCTGCAGCATGTTGCTTTTCTCTTTACACCTTTGGTTACATAATGATCAGTAGTGGTCACTGTGATGTGTTGATGAATTCTAGTTTTCAGTTCTTGTGTTTATGTGTAATGTAAAGCATGCCTATTTAAAAACATGATTCTTGAATTCATGAAAAAAAAGCTCATAGAATGTGTCTGTGTTCCAAGGCATATGGCAACTCACTCGCCAGAAAAAAACCACAAGTGTTCATACTGTGAGAAAATGTTCCACCGCAAGGATCACTTAAAGAATCACCTACACACTCACGACCCATACAAGGAGGCCTTCACCTGTCAGGAGTGCGGCAAGAGTTACAACACCAAGCTGGGCTTCAAACGCCACCTCGCCCTCCACGCCGCCAACAGTGGAGACCTCACCTGCCAAGTATGCCTGCAGCCGTTTCCCAGCACTGGGGTTCTGCTGGAACACCTAAAAACGCACGCTGGCAAGTCCTCTGGCGGGACCAAAGAGAAAAAGCATCGCTGTGAGCATTGCGAGCGGCGGTTTTACACCCGTAAAGACGTGCGACGCCACATGGTGGTGCACACCGGACGCAAGGACTTCCTTTGTCAGTACTGTGCCCAGCGCTTTGGTAGGAAGGACCACCTGACACGCCACGTGAAAAAGAGCCATGCCCGGGAGCTTCTGAGGGTAAAAACTGAGCCAGCTGATTTGCTGGAACCAGTTGCCTATGACTTGGCGTCTGGGGGCATCAAGGGCGAGCTCCCAGGAATGCTGACGCCGAGGTTGCACCAGCTCAACATGTACACAGGCCCCGTCCTGGACACAGAGCCCTTCCCCAACCCAACACACCCCTTTTCTTTAAAGTACCCGCTGGCCTCCAACTTTACCTCATACACCGTCTCCTCCCAGGAGCGGGAGCAGAATCTAAAGGGAGAACTGGAGACCTACCTGATGGAGCTGCAGAGCAGCATGCCCTCCTCATCCTCTGCAGCCCAAGAACCCCAACTCCCCTCTTCCAAACTCGAGTTGGAGACTCAAGTGGGCGTGCTGGAGCAGACGAGCCAGGAGGTGTCCCTGTCCAAAATGTCCACGCCGGTGGTGGCAGCCTCCGCAGGAGACTCTCTGGCTTCATCCTCTTCTCTGATGGACTTCTCACAGCTTTTCAACTTCCTGCCACTCAACGGGCCTCCGTATAACCAGGCCGGGGGCAGCGGGGGGCCAGGCGTCGCCTATCCACCCAACGAAGAGCCCACACCTCTTGTCCAGCTGCCCCCCCACCCCCCCGAAGGCCCAGAGGCTGCAGAGAATCCGCTTCAGGGGCTCCCTTCCTCCTTCATATCCAACTTGAGCACACCCACCACACTGCCCCGCTTCCACCAAGCTTTTCAGTGATCCAGTATGTACTGCGCATGAGACACATACACTCACACATACTGACACACCAGCCCACCGTGAAACAAGATGCTAGTTTGAAGATATTAGTCCCATCTCCATTTAATATGACAACATGAGCAGACACTAACACATTTTGCAGACACATGATGATCAGTACTGACACACACATCAAATCTGTTCACATAATAGCTGACCAATCATCCTCTTGTGCTGGATGTTTGTGCAAATACAATTTCCAGATTCTCAGTTTAAGTTGTACAACCTATCATGATTAGTTCTGGATGGCAGGAGAAAATACTTCTCAAAGATCTGCAGGCTACAATATACCGCAGTAGAATTCAGGCATGGGCTGTGCTCAAAAAGGTTCATCAGTGCAAAACCCCGCCACACACATATTAATGGAGCTAAAACTCTTTTCCCGTAATAATGTGGACAATGCTTAACCATAACAGTGAGAGTTGTGTTCATTACACAAGGTTTTTGGGAGTTTGAGAATTTTCACATACATGAATGATGATAGTAATTTGATTGCAGTGACTTTCCATTACTTAACCCCCCATGCTTTAGAATAGGTTGACCTTAGTATGCAGATTTTTTCTTGTGCAGCACTTTGAAGCCTGTGATGTCGCCTGTCATTACAGTTGACCTTTGTTTTATGTCTTTCTTATTTGTGGTAGGGACCAATCTGTAGTTTTGGAATGTTTTCGCCCATTTACATACGTGACTGCTGAGCATTTCACAAACCATACCGGACTTCGGATGGTTTTTTTTGCAGTGCTCTAGACAGCTATTGCATCGCATCAAGTTTTCAAGTCATGCAAGTTTGTTTCCAATATTTAGTGAAATTATAGGAAACCAATGACTTCCTGGATGGTGGGAAGACTATCTCAAAACATCTCAAACATCAACATTATTTTTTGCATTAAGTTAATATTTCATCAGCAGTAAATAGTCTAAAACATACAAAAACATCAGTCTGGTCCTTTTGATCAACCCATAAATCAGAAATGTATTTACATTGTTAACAACAAGGTACTGGATAGTAACTACTGAGCAGTTATCTTTATTCTCCAACAGTCGTGTTCACCAGTGTCTTATGGAATTTCTTAGTTATCCTCCAACCCCAAACCAAAATCAACCAAACACAAAAAGACACAAATCCCATCAGGTTAAATCAACACCCTCTCCGCCACACCCAGTTGGAGAGTTAAGATCAACCATGTATCTGGATTAACCAGTCCTGGACACCAGAAAACTGAGAAATCACGCTTTTAACCATGACTTACAAACACACAAGCAGTCACTGTTTATGAGCCCTACCTAGTGAACCAGCTGGAAGCATCCACCCCGTAGAGTTATCTTTTAGTAGGAGAGAGTACTACAGGCTCAATGGCTATGTTCACACTGAGGCACAAGTTATTCAGATCAGATTTGTTCATGACAGCACAAATCACATGGAATCTGATCTTTTCTATTCGGCTATGCGGCTGTGGTTGTTGGTTCGATCCCCGGCTCCTCACGCCACATGCCAAAGTATCCTTGAGCAAGATACTGAACTCCAAAATGCTCCTGATGTCGTGCATCACTGAGTGAATGTGTGTGAAAGGGTGAATGTGGCACGTAGTGTAAAAGCGCTTTGAGTGGTCGGAAGACTAGAAAGGCACTATACAAGTACAGGTTGATTTACCATTTACCATTATTCTGATTGGGTGGGTCACTTCAGTACTGCGTCAGATCAGATCTGAGTAATAAATCAGAATTGAGCGCTGATGTTGCGGTGTGAAAATAGCCAGTGTGTCATGAGCTGCTTTACTCTTCCCTTGTTAATGTCATTGTGCCTTAATTTTCAAAGTTTATGAAAAAAACTATTATATCAAAGACCCACAAAGCAAGCACTCTTTCAAGGATGAGGGAAGTTCTTCCTGCAAAAATGCATTATCACATACATGAAGTCTTTCCTGTGTGTATTCAAGTACCTGTGCCTTTTAGTAAACTTCTAATAAGTGTAGTTAGGTTGCCTTGTTTATGACTGTTGGACTGAAACTAAACTTTTTAGTTGTAGATTGGATGCAAAAAATGAAAATTTACATTTACATCATTACCCTTAAGTGTTTGGATATGGTACCGAGTACCATTGTACTAAATGTATTGTAAAACATCGTCTCAAAAGTTAACCATACAACAAATAATGGGGTGGCTACATTTGACTTTTTAAAAAAGTCCAGTGAGTAACATTTAGAAGGATCAATTGGCAGAAATGGAATATAATATTCATAGGCACGTTTTCATTAGCGTATAATCACCTGAAAATAAGAACTACTGTGTTTTTGTTACCTTCGAATGAGCTGTTGTTATCTACACAGCAAGTGTGTCCTCTTCCATAGATACCGCCACCATAGTTTCTCCTACGTGCTCAGAAGGCAAGCAGTTATGCATTTGGTTGCAATCTGCAACTTCATCGCTTGCCACTAAGGGGCCACTAAATCCTACACACTGGTCCTTTAAGTGACATGTTCACTGGACCCCTACCCCACTTAGAAAAAACTGCAAACATTTAACATTGGAAGAAAACATTAGTTTTTATAATGTGTGACACCGATCGACACATTAAAAGCAACTGCCAGAATAATGGCAAACATTTTGTTTACCACATTCTACTACCTTTGAACCAAGAGCGAGATGAAGAATATACATATAAACTGTCAATACATTTGTTGTCATCCAATGTGGAACACTAGAACTTCTCAATAGTATATGAAATTCTTGTAACATTATTTAGAACTGCCAAATGTTGCTGCTATTTTGGTCATTTAGCCAAAAGAATGGGATGTGGGAAATCTTTTCTGAGTGACTGTGCCACACCTTGGTAGTCATTCCCTTTAGACTCTAAATGTTTTTCTCAAACATAAATAATTTTTGTGCAGAGGTTTGTGAGGTGTTACTTGGATGTTCTGCTACCATTAAAACTCAGCATGCAGCTCTCCCGAACCACATTTAGTAATAACGCAAATATTACTGTAAGCTCTGAAACACCCAGTTCAGAACCAGTTCAACAGTTTATGGTTAAAATAAATGTCTAGAGCCACATGTTCTGACTTCCTCTGGCATGGCTCCACTTTATTTTATGTTTAGATTAAAGTGGAAGTCACCCCCTAAAACACAAAACACATGTTAGTCCTGTAGGTTCTTGGCCTAAATCTGCAAACACAAACTCTCTGAAAGCTAAAAACATGACGGAGCTAGGAGACAGAGTCTTTGACTCAGTTTACCCTCATCCAAAACAATAGTTGGTAGCATTCCAGTTTTCATGCAAATGTGAAGAGACTCAGTGTAGTGAGTTGCTCTTTAATGATAACAGCAATGAGGCTTACATATGCTGCTGGAAAATGGTATATTGCAACAATCAAAGGAACATCTTCAGTGCTCAGTTGGTCTTTTAAGATAAAAGTGTTGGTATTGAAGCTAACCGCACCCATTCTTCTGGAAATGCATTCATGCCATAAAGCTTTAGATACTGAAGCACACTCATTTTAGTGAATTCAAAGTGTACAATCAAAGAGTCTGCAGAATTTACCTTCATGTTTCCACATTCAGCTATGTGGTTTCTAGCTTTAAGGGAGAGTCGTTTACTGGCTTCATCCTTGACTGAAATGTTTAAGATGGTAGGAATCCAATTTAGGGGCCACATGCCTCTTCTTTAACTGCTTCTAGTGCCCTCTAGCAAGGCACTTAGCTGTACAAGCAAAGCTGCTTACCAAGGGACAATAGTAAACTATAGTGGTGCTTGGGCATCTCCCAAATGTAAATCTATTCTGTATGAATGTGAAGCAGAACAGTGCTGGATAAGAGCTGAGATTCTAACCTTCCCAGAAAAATTCAATTCATTAGGCCAAAGCATGCTAGATTTATATAATTAGTGTATAGGTAGTCCTTCCTCCTTCAAACCTTAAAGGACTATCACTTCAAATGCAGTTAAATGTGTTGGTAGAAAGTTTCTTTGGAAATAGTAAAGACTTGACATGCCCGAAGGCTCACTGTTAAACCCCCAGTTTTTGAAACTTCTGCCACCACCCAATACTGTGGAGGTGAAAAATCAATCCCAGTATCCTTAGGTGTTTGCCACTTGAATCCCTCAACTTAATTTTTTAAATTTTATTTTTAATTTTATTTTTATTATTTTTTACATATAATTTACCTTGAATTATATAATATAATATATATGCTTCAACACAATGGCTTTATACCTAAAGACATGTTACAGAAATTCAATTTTTGATAATATTGCAGAGAAATGGCAGCTAGCAAGGTCTGCTACATTAGCTTTGACTCATGAATTAAATACAGTAATAATAAAATATATATCCAACACTATTTCTAATTAACGACAAACAATAAATACTTCAGAAGAAAGGACGATCTTAACATTGAGGGTCACATTGTGTGAGTGGCCTGTCATCCATGTGCTCACTTGCGAAGTTCTGTTTCCGTAGAAACTAGATTTTATTCAATTAGTTTATTTTGTTCAATGTCACAGTGAGTACTCAGAAGGCACTTGTAGATGAAAAAATCATATACATGATAAATAAATAAAAAAATATGTTAAGTAATATTTATATGAAACGGTCATTTTAAATAATGTCACATTTTAATTGTTTCATTTCATTTTACATATGTCAACATTGCGACTATAAAATGGTAACAAAAAAAATAGATTTGATTAAATCACATTCTTTACTAATTGTTTTATGTTGAGATGTGTAATAACACTGTGTATATATTTATGAAGCATCAAGCATTCACAGCTAGGACTTAAACTTGCCCATAGTTGCAGAAACACCCAGGAATTGGAATAAGACTAATAAGCAAGATTTTTAAAAAACATTATCAATGGTTTATCTGGTGATCGGGTTGGAAAAAACTGTATCAGATAATCTACATCATTATAAACTGTTATCATTTACAATGCTGGCTGCCATAGTAATGACACTGTTCTGTGGACTGACCTCAGTAACTAGAAAAACATGTTGCTGTTGTTGATGCTCCACACACCAAATTCTATTTACCTCCATTGTGCTGGTATAGTAACCTGACCATATGACGTAGTCAAACTTTTACTGAAGGCAGTCGGGAGAAAACATCAAACAACAAAAACATCTTCAGTGCCATTCTTTGCTCTTCTTTCAATGAAGAAATACTCTCCAGTTCTGATATAACTGATGCTAGCAGTATGGACACTAACTTCTTTAGCAGCCTCCATTGTTGTTTAACAAACAATCGCTTCTCACTGCGTCACACCTAGCTCCCACCAACGTAGCTGCCATTAGTATCGGAGCAGTCAAAAGACACTGACTGGTCCGATACCACTGTAGTTTGGCCAGAAAAGCATACACTGATGCCTGGCAAGATGGATTCTCACATAATTGTGTGATCTCACAAGGTTACTCATGTGGTGGTAAAAGTCTCAAAACCTGGACAAATGAAACCAAAACTGGGTTAGGGTTAGGATGGATGGATGCAGCTAGAGGGGAGAGAAAATATATGTTGTTGTTTTTTTGGTGATATAAGTACAAAACTACAGATTTAGATACAATCTTTCTTTAAGGACATGATGTTTTGGTGTGGGCATGAAGTCAATCAGGACTTCCCAGCATTGTCTGAGGCTTTTGTTATTGAGAGATTTAGAAAGTCAAAGCTATATGTAGCGACACTCCGCCCAGCATGTGATTCACTGCTAATGAAAAAGTGCTTTCTGTTTGGTCGAGAGGCCAAGAGAATCAGTGGGTTTCATTTCAGTCAGTGCCTCAGTCAGTCCACGCAGACACAAACGTACATTTCAACCTTGTCTTCTTCAACTGTAGCTTCACTGCTCGGTCATTAGCATGGACACAATCATACAATGTAAGCAGATTTGCCTTATTTTTATGCAATACCTAAGACATATCAGCTGTCATTTAGAATCAATGTGGACACACAAAAACTGCACAAAATAATGACTGTGTTGGAACAGATGCACATCACATATATAGTTGTATACACATTAACCATTATAATAACATCACCTTTAATAACCCTCTAAATTCTGTTAATGATTTTAACATTTCCAAAAATATATGCTGGAATGATGAATAAGACATTGCCTTTAAAAACATTTAGTTTTGAGGGTTTGAATATTGGACTGTATAAACATTATATACATTCAATGAACCAGATACAGAACAAGTGAGATAAAAGTGGACCTCTTATTAGAAAATTGAGGTTCAAGAGATATTTTTGCTAACAACAGAATCATAGTAAACTACAGTTAGCACTGATACATTGCTTTGACATGTTATGAGCAACTGCCATTACCTCTATTTTGTCATGGATTTAAATCTTCTAAATGTGGTAATGTTGCCTTGAATAGTTACTGTAGCTGTTGTTGCTCATATAAGGTTGCTTAGTTTGGGTTAGCCTCATTTGTGACCTCAGCACCCGTCGCATAGGAAACTGCATAGCACATTTAACTTCTAGGCAGTTTAGCTCCCAGTCATTATTCATATTCCTTCGGCTGCTTTCTCACAAAGTTAAACCAACAATGCAGTTTAGCTACCAGGTGTTATTAAGCAACACAGTTAAGTGCACATCTTACGCTATATTTTGCATTCTTCATCCCTTTCTCACTTTTCCAGTTATTCATACTCTTTTCAAATTTGATCTGCTCATAAGCCCGGAGCTCCATTCAAACCTTACAATGTTCCACATCTTTCTTCTTTTAATTTATACTAATTTGACACACTTTTCCTACTTTTCGTACTCCTTTAGCAACTTCTCCATACAAATTAAAGCCAGCAATGCAGTTTAGCATCAGCTCTTCAACATCCAGCAATGTATCAGACACACATTATTGATCCAAGCAGACTATTTGTATATATCTTCATACGTGACTTAAGGGGATCTTTAAAGATGCAATCTGCTGCTTAAAAATAACATTCAGATTTTTCCACTCAGGTTTGCGTAGTAAACTCCCAATCAGTAACATGCAGGACACTGAGGTCACAAATGGGGATATGTTTAGGTTACTATATCAATCCCATTCCAGTTACTGTATTCCCCAGCGGTTGCTACAATTGTATGACTGTAGTATCATTTCTCATGCAGTTAACATTGTGCTAGCAATCACTAGCCAGCAGTGCGGCTGGGTATATTGACTGAAATACATGTGTAGCACTGAATACCAAAATCTTTACTAAAAGCTGAATTTAAATGTCATCAAAGGTCAGATTAATCTTGTCTCATTCTTTGACCTAGTAGTTCCTGATTTAAATCACAATTTTAATAAAAACGGAGGGAAAATGCACACACACCCCAGGTGCTGGCTTGTAGACATACATTTAGAAAAAGAAAAAAAAGGGAAGCCACATACTCATCTTTAGCCAATGTTAGACTGTAATTTAAGTTCTTTTCCAACTGCCTATGTTTGGATGTTTGGCATTTCAAAATTGATCATGAGACCAAAGTTCCATATTTAGGTCACACGATGACAACAGAACAAACTCCATAACAACATTTTAAAGGGCCGTACAAAATCCATCAAGTGAACCTTTAGTTAAGATTATTTTGTCAAACTACTGTTCCCAAGGTCAAAAATGATCAACATTTCAGTACTGTTGTTTCTTTTGTAAAAATGAAAGAAAGGTTTTGTTTTGTCTGTCTGGTATCATCATTGACACATATTGAAAACTTAAAAAAATCAATACCAGCTCTGCGACAATGTAACTGAAGGATGAAAAGTCACAAAGGTGATGTAAGCTGATCTATATTATTTAATACAACACAGATTACATATTTCATCTAGAACAGACATTGGACTGCACACTTTATGGCAAAAATGTGAACTTTATAGCCTGCAAAGATTTTGCCAAACATCACCTTTTTCCTTCCACCATAGCAGTCAACAGATCTTCGTTACATCAAATGTTTTAATGGATATATAACCCAATAGTGTTATCATTTACCTCACATCTTGTTTTTGTGCTCCGAGATTCAAAAATGATGATGAACTAGAAGTGTTAAGTTCCCAGTTTTCCTTCCTGAACGACAGGATTGATGAGACATGAATGGAGACGATATTTTTCTGGGTTGTGTGAAAGGTAGAGTTGAATGTGTAATGTTTCAAAGCATTTATGGAAATTTGCTATGTGTATCTTGTGAAGGTTTGTGTTTTTACAAGAGATGTTAGCAAGCCGCTATTGTTTTTTTTTTTTTCATAGCACTTTTTGTAAATTGAATGCCTTTATTTCCTCCAATACCTTTTGTTTAAAACCTTAATTACAAATGTATAGATGATATATTTAGCTTTTAGAGAACAATAACATGTAAATACAATATAAAATGTTTTATTTTTACAGGTACAATTTTGACAGTGTTTTTCCTATCAAAGTGTCATTTTTGCTTTACTTGCACAAGTGTTCTGTGTATCTCATTAAGGGGTCTTTTAACAAATAATGTACCTTAAACACAGATTTCAGTAGGCCTTGTTTTTCAGAGAGCCTTCTTTGACTATTGGTCAACTGGTTTAGGTGAGAGCACAAGCAACAATGAAGCTTAAATGGACGATTAGCTAGCACTTAATTCTATTATCTTGTTATGGGTTGTTATAAAGACAGTGTTTATGTTCAATAACTCCCAGGGTGATTAGTCCTCCTCCATCATCCTTTGACCTCCGTGTGACATATTATGACGTAAAAATGACTTGATTTCTTAGGGGTTTCTGTCTAAAAGCTGCTAAAGTCCAGATGAAATGGAAAATGTCTTTTTGACCCTTTAAGATTACATCCCTAGTCATTTTGTACCCATATTTAACAATGTATGCCACCATTATTTCAAAAATATTTCTTTGTATTTTTACATCAAAATCCACTTATGAAACAACCAGTTTCAACTAATACTATCATGTAATCCAGCCATCAATTAATCTTCAACTTTTAGCAACAGCTAGTGTTTCTAGAGGTCGGAGCTCACTGATTACTGTACAAAAACACAACTTTATCAGTGATTCTGGTGAAACCAGATCATATTTGATGAAGAAAATATATTCTGCCTCAATTCAGCTAACTGCAAATGTAGCTGCGGTTACCGTGCAACCGAAACCGGCTTAGCAGCCTCACAGTGAACAAGGCCAGACCGGGAATAAACCCAGCCTCCAAGACAGGAGGCCAGTTTGACGACAACAGTACCAAGATGATTTACAGAGTTTCCAGATGGACTGTTGGCGGCACTCGCTAACTGCTGCTAACAGTAATGTTAAATGCTGTTAGCTAGTTAGCTCATGCAGCTAACGCCCCCTCACCACCCCTGTTTTCTGTTTCATGTGGACTTTGAATAAACACACATTTTCCAGTCAGCTAACAACAGGTTCAACTCATATGACAGAATCCAGAATTTGATATGGGCAGAATAAAAGCAATAAACTTTGGATCAAAGTTGAAAGAAAAAAAGCTCTACACATTGGTAGATCCAGATTTGGACTTTAGTATCCGATAAAGTTTGTAAATCTAAAGCTAATCTGACCTGTCCTGGGAAAAAGGAATATAAAGGCAGAATGTCTCCAATAGGTGGGAGATGCTCTTCAGTGAGAGGCACAGACCTTCAGCAACTCAAACTTCTTTATAAGCTTCAGTGGTACCAGTGAATTTTTTTTGAATGTGTATGTAAGAAACACTGCAATACTGCAATATATTTTGGTATTGGATCAAGCTGCTAACATACTTCTAAAGCTCCTTAAGGTGCTACAGACCTCTTTTCTAGTTCTTAAATGTATCGTTTGTACAAGTATCCAGTTTAGCTGAACAGTTGGCATGTGTGTGCCTTGTTGTACTATATAGCTACATTATATTTTTATTGTACTGTGACTTTTGTAGTCTTTTGACAGACTTGCCTGTAATATCACATGCCCCACCCCACCTGTGTGTTGTGATATTGGGAAACGTCGTCGCTTTGGGAGATTGCTCTGAGTGAAGTCACTCGGCGGAGATGAAGACGTTGGCGCCGAAACTGAGAACTGCGACTCCAACGTAACGCCATTTTAAAATGAGCTGAGGAGGTTCAGAGACGAACTGCATTCCAGCCATGTTGGTTCTGTTATTCATTGCATTTCAACAATGCCATCCTGTGACAATGATGGACTCGTTGCTAATTCTCAATATTCTACTTCAAGTCTATTTTACGAACTACTGTTGTATTTTTATAAATATAGGCAAAGTAATTCACATAAACATATATATGAGTAAATATATATGTATATGTTTATAGGTTGTGTAAAATAAAAATGAATGCTGCAGCTTTTACCTGTTGTTTTTTTTTTTTTTTAACATTGACATCATCCAAAGAGGCAGATTATTTATTGTCTGGCAGAATAACCTGATTTGATTTACATACCTTGCTGCTATGAGAGAGAAGAGCTGCAGTCGTCAACTCCAGTGTTTTTACACAGTCTAATGAAAGTTCAATAAACATAAAAGAAGGATCTAACTGTGTGTCTGTCTGCTCATTCTAAAATGTGATTTTGTCCGTACTTCTTGTGTAAGCTGGTGCTTCTTTCAAGTCTTAATTACTGTAAGTTTGGACATTTTATGTGCTGCTAACGTTAAATCTGAATGAAAGTAAATTCTGCTTTGCTGAAACTGGTTGCTTGTTAAATTCAAGCCCTAATCTGCACCCTGAAAAATACTGGAATAAAAAATAAAAATAAAAACTGGAACAGTGGGCCTGGCTGAAGCAGAAGCTTGGTGGTGGATCTAGAGAAATATTCATGGGGTGTTCAGAGGTTGGCATGGAGACTTTAAGAGGGGGCAGAAACATATGATGATTAATTACAATCACATATATCAATGTTTGTTTGGAAAAGCGACCAAGTGAACATAAATATTTGAACTCAGAAACATGACATTATTGTGGCACATTAGCAAAGCATTGAATATAAATATCTAAAGGTGGTATTAGAAATCACTACATTGTTTTATTTATCTAAATTCATGTCTGTCTTCACTGAACTTAAGCCTATCACTGGGTCTAAAATGTGGCTATGACAGATCATTCAATTCATTTCCAACTTTTTTATCCTGCTATTGCATAAAATTAAGTTCACGTGTTAAGTTTTACACCAAACTGGGGTGTTCCTCTAGATCCACCCCTCCAGATCCGACCCTGGATAAGGCTCATATGTGCCTACAAGGTTTAGCAGCTGAGCTGGAAAAGTCTTATGTTATTCTATATTTTTCTTATTATCAACAAATCCCATGCAAGGGCACAACCAACAACATGTTATTCTGTCTCTTAATACTTTCTGAAATCCCTACCCTGTCGGTAGCTCTCGTCCCAGAGCCCACTGGTTCCTACTGAAGACGTAAATCTTTAAAAACAGCTCACAAATATAAAGTTTAATTAAAAAAAGGCTCAGTAATTTCCTAAAACAGTTGTCCACTGTATTTTCTATCAGATTTTACTGAAACAGAAGGATTGCATTTATTGAGAACTATTTTCAGCTGTTAATTAATCTACATTTGGTACTCTAGTGAGTATTAGGAGCAACAGGACGTGTAAATAAACTACAGTTTGAGTGTTCATGTAATAAAGGAACACGTCACCCAGTGCAACACTGTGGCTCCCTGATGTGTTTTTAATAGTTTCTGGACAACAACGGAGTTATGGCACAGAGGAAGGAGGTATATCCGGCTGTGATACACACAGGGGACTTCTTTCAGCCATATATCCATATACTGTACACACTATCTGTGCAGAGTTTGACACTAGAAGGAGGTTTTCACATTCATTTGCTGAAGTGGAAAGTTTCTCTGTGCTCATTGAAAATCTGATTTTAGTTTAGATTTTAGTGGCGGAGCCTACCAGCACGATTTGTGACTGTGGACTGGGCAGATCAGGAAATATACCTTGTGTGAAACATAAAACATAACTCATAGCCAACTTACCTATGTGAGTAAAGCAGACCTGACAGACTTTTGTCTTAAGTTTGGTTTACTGTCCTAGAGACAACAGATTTATCTTTGGCACATACTATATACATTCCTACCAGGTTCATGCTGCTGGGGAAGTGTTTAGAACACTCAGATATGTTCTCTTATGCTATTGGTCATAAGTTGATGTCGTAAGTTAATTTAATATTCTGGTAATGATAAACAAACAATTGACGTTGCCAGTTACAGAGGGCTGGTTATGTGTACAAAGCTTTCATTAGCGGACTCTGAGGCAAATTTCAACTAAACCAAGCTAGATTTTACTGTAGGCTGACCAGTTCGCCTTTACATTCATGCTTCTCTCACTTTATCACATCTGTTTTCTTGATACCCCTGTATTATTGTGGAGGTTCATCACTCAGTCCTGGAGAAAGAGAGACTGCAGATGGTCTCAAATACCTATTAAAGTTCAGCCAAGGAGGTCAACTTCATCAGTAACGAGGGATCAGAACAAAAGACTGATACATGAAGAGGGTCACAGATGATGCAGCACATCAGGTCCTGTCCTATTATCACCTTCATACACTGCAGTAGTCAGTTAGAATGTCATCATCTGTTCCTGCACGCTGGGAGACTCTCAGTGAACAGGACACACACACTCTGAGCTGTAACATGTTCTTCAGTGGCTCCCTCCCCCAGCCTCAGCCTGTCTAAGTCAAATCTGTCAGTGAGCCCTTCTGAAAGTGAACAACAGTGTTCAGCTGTCTAGCTGCTGATAGTTAGAACATGGTATGCACACACATTCTTACACGCAAACATATTATTGTGCTTTACTACCACAGAATGCAAAAAGTGGCTCATTGTACCCCTTCCTCCCCTACTGTAGACAGAGTAAACTGAGTTGAACCATCGGGATGAACCCGATGAACCCGAGCAGAACGCATTACATACTCCACAACACTAAGTGGCGGTGTGGCTAACCGTGTGTGTGTGTGTGTGTGTGTGTGTGTGTGTGTGTGTGTGTGTGTGTGTGTGTGTGTGTGTTGAAAAGCTCTGAGAGAACAGAGCTGCAATTCAGTCAGCAGCAGACTTCAGGTTGCACAGTCTCCACTGCGCACCATGCCTTCTCCGGTCCCTGTCACCCGCCTGTTACCCAAAGACCTGTACCCCTCTGTGGACATCGGGACCTGCAGCAGCCCGCTGACCAAACACTCCCACGGCTCCGCCACCTTACAAGTCCCGGTACAGCGGCTCCACGGCAGAGTCGCCAGTCGGCTCTGGTCCTCTGTGATCCACTGGAAGGAGCTGCGCTCCATGCAGCCTGTGGGCTCCGGAGGCTTCGGCTCCGTCTACAAGGCGGAGTACCTCGGGAGCACCGTCGCGCTGAAGAAGGTCAAGAAGTGCACAAAGAACAAGCTGGCGTCCCGGCAGAGCTTCTGGGCCGAGCTGAACGCCGCACACCTGCGCCACAGGAACATCGTGCGCGTCATCGCGGCGACCACCTGCGTACCGGCGAGTTTTGGAGATGAAAGCAGCATCGGGACGATACTGATGGAGTTCGTGGGGAGCAGAAATCTGCAGCAGATCATTTACGGACGTGCAGAGCCGCTGGGGGAGGACCGGTGGCTCAGGTACTCCACAGACATTGTACACGGCCTGCGGTTCCTCCACTCCCACAGCGTTGTGCATCTGGACATAAAACCAGCCAACGTGCTGGTGTCCAGTGAGGACGTCTGCAAAATTGCCGACTTTGGCTGTTCTTTGAAACTGGACCACGGGAGTGAAATGAGCCCGATCAGCCCACATCTCAGCCACGTAGGCGGCACGTACACGCACCGAGCCCCGGAGCTGCTGAAAGGCGAGGGGGTGTCTCCTAAAGCGGACATCTTCTCTTTCGGGATCACGCTGTGGCAGCTGATCAGCAGAGAGCAGCCCTACACCGGGGACAGGCAGCACGTGCTCTACGCGGTGGTGGCGCACAACCTGCGGCCGTGCGTGCAGAACCTCCCGGTGTTTGAGTCCGAGCAAGGTCGTCTGTGTAGGACTCTGTTGAGCCGGTGCTGGAGCGGAGAGGGCCGCTGCAGACCCAGTGCCGAGGAGCTGCTGCCTCAGCTGGAGCAGCTGCGCTCGCAGACCTGACTCTGTTGGTGCACAGATGTACTGTGGGTCTCACAATGGATATGTTTTAGAACATTTTACTAGGTCCTCTCCGGTAGTGTCAGCTTCAGGAGCAGTAGATCTCATGCTCACATTCATGCCAAATCCCATTTTAAAAAGAGCACCTTCTTGAAGAAGTGCCTTCTTGTGTATTGGCGGAAATTAAAATGGTTGCACTATATAATGATGCACAACTCTCTGCAAAGCACGTCCTGTGACAAAAACAGCCGTGAAATAGTATTGTAAAGAGTATTGGTAATTATGTGCCTAATTGAAGTGGCTTCCAATGAACTAAGACACTTAATTGTGTCTATTTAAAGCTGCAGTAGGTAACTTTTATAAAAATAACTTTGTCATATTTGTTGAAACTTTCTCTATATCCTGACAGTAGTACGTGAGACAGATAATATGAGAAAGAATCAGGGTTCTCTGGCTCCTCCTAGTGCTCCTAATAATAGCATTTGCAAGAATCCACCGGGCCTGAACGAAAAACAACCAATCAGAGCCCATTAAGACAGAAAGACGCTTTGGGTCAGTGGCTTCAAGATAGTTGATTAAATCTCATTCCCACGACCAGTGTCTGTATGTCGTTTTCCTTCAGGTGGATTCTTAGAAATGCCATTAGGAGCACTAGGAGGAGCCAGAGGAACCAGATATTTTTCACAGATTAACTCTCTCATGTACTACTGTCAGGATATAGAGAGTTTCAGCAAATATGATATATTCTCACTTTAAGTTTTAATGTTTGACCTTGAATGAAAACAAATGAGACCATCTACCAACAGGCTGATGTATTTGCACTTTTTTCATATGCCAATATAACAAACTTTGTGTCAAGGAGATCTTTTGAAACTTTGGATAATTGTTTGGATAAATGTCATTATTTTAGCCCATTGACAGACATTTTAAAACCCCATTCTATATCCACTGTTTGAGTTGTACAATTTGCCAGCACAATATATTACTGCTCCCTCCTAACTTGTTTTAGTGATTTGTCTTAATTGTGTTGTGAATTGAGTTTTATTTGCCATGATGAGATTGTAATGAGATTTAAGTGTGATGGGTTTTCATTAAAATTATTTTTATATTGTGTATGTATTGTACTTCTTAGCTCTTCCACACATCATGTTGACAGGACACCAGTTTGTCACAGAGTTTAACCTGACCGGCATTCGGGCTGTGGGAAGAAACCCACTCAGGCATCTGGAGAACATAAAACCTCCACACAGAAAGAACCCAGTTGGTGTAAGGGCCATGGTGTTTTTATTGGCTCTACCTTCTGTGATGGTCTTAGACCTTATTCTGTTCCTCTTTGTTTGCTGTGTACCTTTTGTGGTTTCAGTAAGGAAAGTTGAGCAGACTGGGCTCAGGAGCTTTCTCAGTCTCTTCCCCTGGCCTGCTTACTGAACTCGGTTTTTGATTTGCTGACAGACATTACATTCTAGTGTTCATTTGCAAATACTTACTAGATCTCAGACTGTGTGGTCTCCCTCTTTTGTCACCCACTTTTGAGTCAGTTTGTGACACTTCCTAATCACATGAACACTTGGGGTGCCTGTTCCAAGAGGTAGTTTTACAGAGCTGTTTGGATCAACTACACAGAGAAAAACTCAGAGCCCGGTCTAAGATAACTCAGAACCTGCTTCTTAGAACAGACAGACATGTTTAATTTTGAGTCTTTCTTTTATCTGAAATGGAACACAAGTGTCAAACCTACAAACGAAAGTGTTAGGGTTTATATAGCTCCACACACTCCAGAGTTAAATTAACACTGATATGACATAACACTGCTCTGAGTTACATTTTTTACTATTTGTGTGGAGGTAATTTTACTCCCTAAAGTGTAGAATCTACACTGATAAAATGTAAATAAAATATATATATATATATATATATATATATATATATATATATATTAAAACAATTAATTACAATTCTCACAACAATTTAAAAAAAAAAACATTAATTTTGCTTTATCATGTGTAAAACAATGCACAATCATGTCGTCACAGAAATTGTACAAAGTGAAGGCAAAATGTGCTTTGATGGCTTGAGGGAGTGGTTTGCCTGGCATGAAATGAGATGCTTATCCATGGTGATGTAGAAGCTGTCGATCCAGTTCTTCTGACGCCCAACAGCGAGGAGGTACGGTTGTTGATCCTGCTGGTTGTGGAGATGATCCTCCAAACTGTAGCATGACTAAGGTTGAGATAATGAAACGAGAGACAAAACTACATTATTGAAGTGTTAACTCAAACATCTCCCTTACTAGTGTGAGATAGGAATGTCTATGAAGACAATTTCATCCACTTTTTAACAACCCTAATTTACACACGTGGCTAAGAAAGTGACGTGACAAATTATTATAATCACCGTAATAGTTTTTGGAGACTTCGGTCCCCCAGGTGGTGTTGAAAGAAGATGTATCAGCAACAATAGGGAGACAATTTCTTGTAGGCTGAGGAGAAACAGTCACAAAAAAAACTGAAAACTCTTCAAATGTAATACTTTGAAAGTGTGAATGAGAACAAGGAGGCATTATCAGTTTTAAACAGTTGTCCATCTATTGCTCATATTCTTTATTATCTTTACTTTCAGAGACACAGAATGAACTGAATTCTAAACGTATCTAATTCCTAATTTTAAAAATAGTCATAAATGATGAATGAAGCAACTGTAACTGCAGTTATAGAAAATGATTTTAAAACAAGCAAAACAAATACAACTCACTTGTTTCCCCATCAGAGAGCCTTGGCTTCAAGAACAGTTAGAGTAAAGTCATGTTTCACCTTTGAGAAAGAAAATATTAATTATTAATTACTAGTATCAGAAATACTTTCAGATTTCAAGTAAAAAAAACTAAACATTTCATTCCCAACTTACCAATACCTACATACATACCTTTTGTATCCAGGAATCTTGGGAAGGTGGAGAGGATATCAACATTTCTACTTGGGTCATTAACAAGCTTCTGAAAGGTCTCTCACCTCTGCTGCAGTGCTGGTCACACAGACAACTACACAAAACACATTGCAACATGTTTCTGTGACCCCTATGGCCTCTCTGTATGTTAAACTGTGGTGAAGGCAAAAAAGGACTAGCGACTAGCTCTAGCCCTTAAACAAGATTTTATACAGTAAAAATCAAAGATTTTATTTGCCACAGACTGCTAGCCAACTGTTAGCTAATCACCTGAAAGGGGCTTTGTAAATGACATATTCTCTGTAGATGTTTAATCTATATGCTGCAGTTCACAGCATCAATCATTTCAGTAAGTTTGACTGAATTACTGTGTATATGGTACCAACTTGTCTCCAACTGAAAAAGTCAAATGCATTTCTTCTGTGGGCGTAGTTTAATTACATCTATGCAGAGTTGGGCTAACACCAGAGAGGGTTTGCTAACACTGACATTATCAACTCAAACGTCAAATAACTCCAACACTGAACAACATTTAACACAGAAAGTGTTAGAATTACACTTTGGGGGTGAAAATCAATTTGCAAAATTTTAACCCTGAAATTTCAACACTCAATTATTTACTGTTATATGTATTGTATTGCAGCCTGCCCAATACAAATATTCACACACTTAGGGAACTGATATAGAAAGCTGCAGTATGTAAAAAAAACTGTTTTGTAATATTTGCTGAAACTTTCACTTGAGACAGATAATCTGTGAAAAAATCAGGTCAATCAGATTTACAAGAATCCACCAACCCGAACCAAAACATCCAATCAGAGCCGAGAAGGATACAAAGACACTTTGGGCAGCTTCAAGATTCTTATTCTCAGCATTGGTATATGTTAAACTGGGAATGAGACTCAACAATCAGCTACAATATTTCTGGGAACTGATTGGCTGTTTTCATTAAGGATCGGTGGATTCTTGCAGATGCCATTAGGAGCTCTTTTTTTTCACAGATTATGTGTCTCATGTACTACTGTCAGGGTATTGTGAAAGTTTCATAAAATATGACAAAAGTTATTATTTTTTGTAAAAGTTAAGTTTAAATGTCTTTATACTTTATTCGTTATACAAAACTCATCAGATATACTTCTTACTATGTTTATGGCTTGTGAATCAAAGTTTAGGACCCAGTCTTAAGACAGTTTCTTAGAAGTTATGAACATATTTGCTTAGGTGCATATTTGAATCAGGATGTTAATGGCCAGGGGAAAATATGTGAGTATTAACAAATATTAAATTAGTAGGATGGGGAAAGTAGGACAAGTGAGGACAGACTCATGCTTCCAGCTTTCATTGACAGACAGCAGAGGTCACTGCTGCTTCAGAAATCAAAACAGAATATCAGACGATGTGATAGCACATTATAGTTTACCTGCAGCACATCTGACACACAGTGTTACTGTTTTATAGAATACAGTATGTATACAGGTATAGAATGGCCTAGCTTCTCAGTGCATTTAAGTGCTGTGTGGAGAGGACAGGTCAACTCTTACTAGTAGTGTTAAAATGAAAAAGTGTTCTGCAGATATTGTTTTTTTTAAGACAAAAGGGGCATCTTCATCATAAACATTAGGAATAGTTAAACGTTCTATATTTTATGCAATCAGAATTGACCACCGCACACTGGAATAACTTTAAACTTGAAACTGTGTTTTATTTAAGAGCAAGTGACACGTTTAGCTTGCAGCTATCTCAGGTTTGCTCAGTTCTATATTTTATATACCAGCCAGGAACCAGCTGCTGGTCCCTCTTGGAACTGCCATTCTTCTTTTTCTTCTTACCAGGAAACCTTCTTCCCCTTTGTACATGGGTCCAGTTTACAACTTCGTCTTGTAAACGTCTTGGTAGCTCACCTGGTAGAGCTGGCCCTCCACGTACCAAGACTGAGTCCTTCCTGCAGAGACAATGGGCCCTTTGCTGTGCATCATCCCCTCTTTTTCTCCCCCTTTCCTGACACTACTGATTAAAGGCAATAAAACTCCTATACTTGATACACACACACACACACACACACACACACACACACACACACACACACACATATAAAAAATGTATGAAACCTGTCTCCTCCCACATTCTTTTGCCCAATGTACACCAAACTGCACAGCATCTTCAGACTGAATGACCAAACATCAAGGCCACATTGCATCATGTTTTACTGTAACAAATGAAAGTAAATTCTCCAAAATAAATCTCCAGCGTTGTTTTATGTTGTGTAGGTTAGGTACAAAAATTCTCAGAATGTTTAGAATTTTTGACACTAGTTTGAAATCTGCCTTTAGATACACAGACGACTATTGTCACAACCCTGGTGGTTGTGTAAGTCTTAGTTTTTCAGTTCAAGACCCAGCTGATACAGATAAACATGTTATACATACTCAGGTATTGTGATGTGTTAATTAGAAACACATGCCTTAGATGTTTAATGATAAATTTAGTTCCTCCTCTTCCTCCCCTTTCTTCTTCCTCCTCAAAATGCCCGTCCAAACTCACTGCTGTGCAGCAGCACTTTATGTTATAATTCTCCCTTTTTTTCAATGCAGTCTGAACAAAATGCTACTGTTTCACAGCCAGGCCACCACTGCTTTTTACACATTTCACTACAGTCTGATAATAATCATAATTTAGAGTAGTGGTTCCCTTTTTCCACTTTTCTATGTAGTAAACTTTCTCAGTGACATATTTTAAGGATATTTCATATTATAGTCAATGCATAACAATAACACAAGAGAACAACTGATAAAATGTACAATGAACCCAAAATGAGTTTTCCTGATATTTTTAGGAACTTTGTATACAATTGTCTGTCTGTAGTATGTTGTTTTTTAACAGTCATACATACTGAGGCTGCCTTTTGACAAATTCAGTGTTTTCTTCTCATTCCTCTATCAGCTCTTTGTTTGTTTGTACTTTTCTAATGCAGGACGAGGCGTTTTTATTAGAGTAACTAAAGTTTACATCTTAAATAATAATCTAACTTTAAAAATAACTATTTCTAACTTTTTTAGTTTTCTTCACAGAAATGCTGAGATAGCTGTGTATACCCACTGTATATTTTTAAAGATTTCTTACACACCTTAAAATCAAGATTGTGACACCCTGTTAGCTTTGGCGACCCTAGTGTGGGTCCCGACCCTGAAGTTGGAAACCAGTGCTTTACAGATGATCCATCACATCAAATGAACATCACATTTTGCTTTATTTCCTGTTACAGTTACATTACTGCTGCGTGGTTATGCAAGTGAAAGGACTGGTTGATTTAAAAGGTTTTGAGAGTTGTGATTCAGATAAGGAAATTTAACTCAATAAAATGAATGAACTGAGTAGTTGATGATATTTGTTACACACTGTATACAAGGGGACAGTATGGGCCCACTATAAAACACTGGCACACATACATCTAATACACTGAGAAGGACCAGGGTTATCTATGTATAATGTGACTAACAAACTGAATTTGCTGTAATTCAGTGACAGCTTCACAAACTGCATCAGCTGCTCTCAGTAAAGAGACAAATAATATGTTAAAACACAATGCCATGGATCTCATTAATCAAAGCATGACAGATGGACACAACATTCTTTTCTACAGTAATACAGACAGACAGACAGACAGACAGAAAAAACACAACACTGTGATATTGCAGAATCATCAAATACTTCATAACATCTCTTTACAGTATGAAATGTGACATTGTCACCAAAGATAAGAACAGCACAGAAAGAGATAACAGGAACTACTAACCTGATAAATAAATGATTTTTTTCTGTGTCCTTTACACGTTTTCCCATTATTTTGCTGTGAGAATAAAACCACCACTGAAAGACATTTATATTGTATGAACTTTGTCAACCCACAAGCAGAAAAACTGTGCATAATTAAAGTGGTACTACAATTTACTATTGCACTTCCATGAAGCGAGGAGACAGATAAAAAGAAAAAAGAAAAAGTCTGTTCCTAGTATGGACCAGAAATACTGGATCATACATTTCCCATAATACAACTCAGCAGTAAGCTAAAAAACACTGAATCATACATTTCCCATAATGCAATTCAGTAGTAAGTTCAAAAAACACTGGATCCTAGGCAGTGGTGGCCTAAAGATCGGTTCTGACTCTTAATGGGAAAAGTGAAAGGCAGCACTTGCCCCTCCCTCATTACCAGCACCTCAGTGGTGGTAGTGGAGCTGCTCAGTGGCCTGACTGTGGTTGTACTGGGTAGCTTCCAGATGTGAATAGGCTCATTCGAGATGAACTGTGCCCCGCCTGGAAAGTGGACGAGATTGGGCGGCAGCAGCAGGAGGCGGTGACAAAAAGCTGCAGTCGAGTCAGTTTCCAAAGAGCAGCCTTCAAAGAATAAACAGGAAGTTATAGTTTTGCATCCTGTTAGATCATCCTTAGGCTACCTATAGTTTGCAGACTATGTTTGGATATACTGTATAAATAAACTTTATTATTATTATCAACCACACAAGATCTGTTTAACAGATTAAAACTTCATTGCACAACATGAGACATGAAACAGCAACAATCTAGAGTTAAATATTTAAATCACACAGAAAATTAGGAAAATATTATATATAATAGTTTATTGTCAAAACTAAGAGCCAATCAGCTCTTTGATCAAGTGATGGCCAGGCGATTCTTGTCATGCCCTGGGACACAAATCTAACCGGCAATAATTGTGCAGCAATTGCAGCAAAGGTTTTACACTAGATCCTCCACTTCCCATTATGCAACTCAGTGGTAAGCTCCAAAAGCACTGGGTCCTACAATTCCCATAATGCAACTTATATTAGTATTGTCTTTTCATTGGACCATCCCTGCTTACTGTTCTGAATCTATATTCTCCACCCTCCTTGACATCATATGGGTTATTTACCTAGACATGGCACATTATACTGTTTTCACAGGTTAAGTAGAACTAGTAAAATGACCCTTTGAAGTACTAATGATAAACACTCAGCACACTATAATGTCTGTCAGAACACAGGGACAGGAACAAAGTATCGGTGAAATATTGTCAAAGTACTGTCATGGGAAGAATATTAATTTTTACAGTTCAGATGTGCAAACTGTAAGATAATGGTCATACAAGATCAATAACAGCTACGTACACAAGTACACACTGCACATGTCAGCAAAAACAGTTCACAGTCACAAAGTAAGGATATGCCCTCTCAATGGGAATCACATTAATAAACAGTGTTCATTTGCTAACTATGGCAGTATGTGTAAATCCCAATACAAGAGCAGACAGCTCTGTTCTCCAGTGATCACATGATAGTAACTCTCTCAGGTGAAACCTGAACAGCCAAGCCCGCCGGCTCCATCCGCTGACACCGGTACTGACTGCTGTCCATTCCCCGGCGGATCTGGTGGAGCTTGCGGGCCACGCAGGGGAGCAGCATCAGCACCTTCCCCAGTATCACGCACACTGGCAGGGCCAGGGCCACCACGAAGCTGGGGGGCAGGTAGAAACGGTATGCCTCCTCGTCAAAGGCTCGCTTCCAGCCGAACAGCAGGCCGTGGAGGGTGGCGATGAGCAGGGCAATGTAGCCCAAAGTGGACTGGAGCAATGACAGGAAGACTCATGATGGTACATGCAGTAACAACTCCTGTGATCATACAGCAAACACCAGATCACACTTAGATTTATCCATCTAGACTGTATATCGGCCGTGAAGACACCTGCCCTCCCTCCAATACAATTGAACCAGATGAGGTGATCAAAGCATCAAATACTTCCTACATAAAACTGCTCACAACAAGGTCTGTGGATGACCTTGATGAACGTGGTCATGATTTCTGGAGACATTGCTGTTGACTTTTTCAAATGTACATTTTTGGTACTCTGAGCACCACAAGCTGAGTGCTTCTGGTTACATTATATTGGAGAGAAGGCAGACGTCTCTATAGCCGATATCTCCAAAACTCAGCAACTCACAGCAAAGCAGTCTAGATGGATAAATAACACTACAGTCATCAATCAATCATATCAATCATATGCATTTTTGATTTGAACTTGTCCCTTTAAATTACTTTAAAAGTGCCCAGTTTGCATCATAAACCATACTCCTTTCTATCTGATCCATAACTCAGTCAAATCTAAACAGATACATATTTAGTGTAACTTACACTTTCTGGGGATATAATTATCTCCATGTCCATTGTGGATAAATCAGCTTAGAAATCATGGTAACAGAGAAAAAGCTCAGCTTTGTATAACCCCAGAACTTGTGAGAGCCATCACGTTATTTACAGGATCAGAGTAATCCAGTGTCAGAGTTTGAAAACCTGGTCTGTATGTACCTGTATGAAGCTGAACTCCCTCCAGTTGAGTGTGCTATGGACAGATGGGATGGAGGTGATTGCCAGGAGTGACAAGAGCCCAAGGCTCATGATCCCAAAGGACACGTACATCTCCACCCTCCACACCTCTTCCTCATTCCACGCATTCTCCACATTAGCATGGACCTGCCAACACAGAGGATGCTCCACAATCATTATATTTCTTTCAAGTTCTTTACGTGAAATGAAAAATGAGAAATCACATTTATCAAAAATACTAGTCCATGCTTTGTTACTAGGCTGGATTACAGCAATTCCTTATTATCAGACTGCCCCAATAACTCCATTATGACATTACAGTTGATTCAGAACGCTGCAGCATGAGTATAGACAGATACTATGGAAAGAGATCATACTTCTTCAGAACTAGCTCTCTGTACTCTGTAATATACACCTTTCTAGTCTTCCAGGCACTTACGTTTACGCTACATGTCACACACATTCATCACTGATGGCAGCGGCTGCCATGCAAGGTGCCAACTGCCTATCAGAAATGGAAACTAAGGCCATTTACACACCAATGCACAACATTGGGAGCAATATGGGATTCAGTATCTTGCTCAAGGACATACAGTGGGAGGAGCCAGGGATCACACCGCCAACCTTCAGATTAGTGGACCTCCTACCTCCTACGCCTCAGATACTGGTATCATTGTAGAAAAATGATTTCTTAAAATGTTGAACTACTCTTAATTTTTGAACGAAAATGCCTGCTTTGACTGGGTAGAAGGTCAAATTTTTGAGTAACAGTGTAAACACAGTGTTCGGAATCCTGCCTCCAACTGACCTGCTGGTAGGCGGTGTTGAGCAACAGGTACCTCTCAGACCTCCTCATGGGCAGACACAGGCTGTAGAGAACGTGGACAGCAGCCAGAAAGAAGCTCAGGAGGCCCAGCTGTTTCCGACTCTGCAGCCAGCCTTCCAGCCAGTGTGGGAAATGTCTGTACTTGGTACCGTAGTAGAGCTGGTGGGCGGCCGCCAGCTGCCCTGCCAGGTACACCAGGGCCAAGAGAGTGATGGCAACAGTGGGCAGTGTTCGGTTCACCATCTCTATGGGGATCTTGTAGAAATCACTCTGCTTGTATTTCACATATGGGTGAATGATGTCTCTTACAAAAGAGTAGGCAAAAAAAAAGATGGAGAGGGCCACTGCAGCGAGGACAGGGCCCTTCCAGCCAGGAAATAACTGTATGGGCATGTTCTCAATGTCTCGCGAAGAAGACAGGGTCCCCATATCCACTGGCTGGAAGTTGAGATGGCGGGCAAGTTCCATAATTTGCTGTCTAGCTTCCACTGAGTCACTGCAAATGAACACCTACACAGAGACAGGATTACAGAGAGAATGACTGATTAGAGCTGCAGTGAAGTCAACCGGGGGGATGGAGCAAAAGGGCATATAGAGTATATTTTCTTCCTCTGTACCACAGAGCTCCATTGATGCCATAAAAGACATCAGTGAGCCATGCTGTTGCACTGGGTGATATGTTCCTTCATTATCATGAACACACACAGTACTTTATTTAGATTCAGTCCTAAATACACTGTCCTGCTGCCCCCAAATACTTGCTTAAGTAATCTGCCACTGAAAATATTCCCCAACGAATGCACAATTTCCTCCTGTTTGTGCAACATTTTATAAAAACTACAGTGGTTAGCTCTTTTGAGAAAATACTGGGCCTTTTTTAACAGTGAAACTATTCTTACTAATTTGTGAGGTGTATTTAAAGATTTACATACAAACCAATGACCTTGGAGCTGAGAGCAACAGACAAAGTAGGGATGTCAGAAAGTATTAAAGGATCAGTGTGTAGGATTTAGTGATATCCAGTGGTGAGATTGCAGATTACAACCAACTGAAACCCCCATGACTCAACCAAGTGTGTTGGAAAAACTAGGGTTGCAACAAAACTCGCAAAAAAACGCATAAGGCCCTATCTAGAGTTTGGTTTGTCCATTCTGGGCTACTGTAGAAACATAGCGGTTCAACACACCAGACTCTATGGAAGGTGACCCACAGCATCTGTAGCATTCTTATTTTCAGGTGATTATGTACTGATCAAAAAATACCTGTGAATATTATATATTATATATTCACTTACAAAAACACACCTTTTTAAAATTGCTTTTAATGTTGCATAGTCTGATGTGGTTTTAATGTTTTACTATTTGATGTTGTTTTGCTGCTTTTATGTTTTTATGTAAAGTGTCTTTGAGTATTTAGAAAAGCGCTTATAAATAAAATGTATTATTATTATTATTATTATATTCCATTTCTGCCAATAGATTTTCCTAAATGTTACACACTGGACCTTTGAGAAACAGAATAACATGTTGTTGGTTGGTCCCCTTGCATGGGATTTATTGACAATAAGAAAAACATAGCAGCAGTTACACATGTGCCCTCCCTGTGTGTCAAAAAGTAATTTTCTGTCAAAATATACCATAAATGTTATTTATTTCATTCAACATTCAAGTGCTCGATTTTCTTGATACTAATAACCTTACTGTTTCGTTTCAAATTACTGTCAGTTAGAGTTGGTCCAATACCAAATTCCTCCAGTGTTGCCTAAAAATTGGGTATTTGCAGGTACGTTTGTCTGTGCACCTCATTGTGTTTAATAAGTATGTATCGGATTGTTACTTGGTATTGGCAAATACGCAAAGTTCAGGAATTGGAACTGGTAAAGGGAAGGAATATATAGTCTCTACTGTCAATCAATGTGGGTCAAGGTTGAAAACCACTGTTATTACAGATCATTAGGGCTGAGTATATCTGGCGCTATGATAGGTATTTCAATACAGGGGTTACAATTCAATGTATTGCAATATATTGCGATTCTGTGAGCAAGACGATATATTGTGTTTTTTTTTTATAAAATTTTAGGAAAACTGTAATATTCTAAAGAACTCACGACTATATGCATAAACTGAATGAAAGGATTTTTTTATGCAACTCCACACATTTACAACACTGCTGTCTAGTGGTTTGGGGTTTAAACACCAACATTGATAGCGTTTTTGAGAATCGATACAGTGTGCCAAACAAAACATGATGCAATATTTTTCAATATTTATATTCCTACAGTTACAACCTACAGCAAGTCCATCAGAAATGTTGCTACTTATTCATCCAAAACTATGTATGCCTATTCAGGAAAGCATCGATGTTGATATGATCTAAAGCACTGCTTCCCAACCTTTCTGCATGGCTTGTGACTGAATATAGCTGACTATAAGCTGTGAACAGTTAAACAATAAGAGTTGTTCCCTTCTCAGCCCGTTTAATTTGAATGGATTTAAGAGTTCTGAAAGGGTAAAACATCAGCTGTTCTACACCAATGACGAGAACCAATGATCTCAAGTAAAGATGGAACTTGGGAGTTGCCATAACTTGTTCACTAGCAGATACATCTAGTGTTTTTTTCCCTTGCTGAATCCTGAAATGAATATTTTTTTTACAGCTGCAATATTCCTGATATAAAGAGTTCTCCATGAAATTTATCACTAGCTTTAATGCCTTTCATTTTAGTTTTAAGAAGCTTCTTAACAGCAGGGCTAAAGTTGTGACCTGCAGTTTTATAATCCAAACTGCTGATAAGGACAGCTGACTGGCTGGGGGATTAATTCAGGATTTATTCTTACATGCAGGAGCTCCGCTGTTGTGAGTGTCCTGTATAGGAATTAATTTGCTCTGGATGTGAAGGCTCGCTGGGCTTTTTTTAATAATTTGTGCCTAAATTAAAACAGAATTAATGTGTCAGAGAGCGAGAGAGGCAAACTGTCACATGGCTGGCTGCCAACTCTTGCTTTAAGAGAAAACGCAGATCTGACAAATCATGATGCCTTGTAGTGAGCTTTGAAATGGACTCTGAAATGGAGTCTGCCCCACTGCTTTCCAATGCACATTGACTTGTTTCTACTTTTACTGAAACAAAGTGCATCAAACTTAGACACAGCAATCTACAATACTCTGAAAGGCAACATGTGAGTATGGATGTTTATTTTTTGACCTTTGGAATTTTGACAAAATAATTATCACCAACAAGCGTGTTTTGGAGCTTTTAACAACAAGCCATGGCCTTCTTCAGTGGATGGAGTTTGCTCAGTTGTCATGCCATCACAAGATTTAAGTGTGGCACTTCAGTCACATGAAAATAGGGCCTTTTTTTTCGCCCTGTTTTTACACAACCACCTGTGAGCATGTGACTGAAGGGCCATTGACTTGATGATAACTGAGCCACCTTGCTGAACAAAACAAACAACTCCATTCATTGTTGACGGCTGTGGAAAGTCACTGATAACTCCAGAAAAGGCTTGTTCCTTTCAAAGAATAGAATATGTTTGATAGTACCTGTGTGCTGGCATCTTTGGGACAGCTCTGCTGCATGGCCCAAGCTGAGATGACATTGAATCCTTTGACCACGATGGAGTCTGGCAGCAGCGATGCCAGATACTCAGCATTAGATTCTGGATACTGGTTCACCCTCCTGTTGTTGCTCACATCCACCAGGACCTTGCCTGCAGGACAAAAAGACAAACACACGACTTCTGTAGTTAAAGGCATTAAATAATATAATGAATCATTTTATAAGGAGTACGGTCTAGACCTGCTCTTTTTTAAAAGTGTCCTGAGATAACTTTTGTTATGAATTGGCGCTATACAAATAAAATTGAATTGAATTGAATTATATTCTAAACTTGGGCTGTCAGCTACAACTGCAGCGGCACATAGGTCTCCCTAGGCTATATGGGATTGGTGATGACTCTGACTCTAACTACCCTTGTGTTTAGCGATGTGTAGTATGAATGTGATCCCTTTAAATTCTAGTACATTGTTGCATACAATTTTGGAGACTATGTGTGTTGGTGTCTACCTTCCAGTAGATGCTTGAGGTCCCACAGGACAGAGTAATGCTCACGGCGGATTGCCAGGAACACAATGCTGGCCTTCCCCACTGCGTCTTCGTGGTGCGTCACATCCACCACATGGGGAAATGACTGGGCTGCCAGTTTGGGATGGCGGCTGCCCACTACCACATGGAAGCCGCAGCGCAGCAGGCGTATGGTCAGGCACTTGGAGAAGTCACCTGAGCCCAGGATGGCCACTGCGGGTTGGGCAGGGAGACGAGCGCTCCCCACATCTCCTACTCCATTCTTCATGCCGTTGGGCAGAAAACAGGCCTGGGCATGGTGGAGGTGGTGGGAGGAGGAGGCTGTGAGGAACACAGGACTCCTGCGGCCGGCCATCATAGAGATGGAGTCCATCCTTCCTCCCTGTCAATTCTTCTTCTTTGTTCTTTTTTTTTTTTGCTTAGGAGGATTTCACTGTGTCTAAGGGAGGTAGGAGGAAAGCACTGTTAACGGATTAGGATTTCTTGGAAATGTATTCTTGCCACCCTACACATGATCACAGGCAGGATGATTATGCATTGACTCGGGCCATTAGCTGTTTTCCTGTAGCGGGAGAATGAAATCAAACAGCACAGCAAACAACAGCAGCATACAATGAGTGATACACATGCTCCGATTGTATGCCTTTTATTTAAATTTTGACTTAAAGGACCAGTGGCATTTAACGGTGAAGCAGATTGTAGCCAACTGAAACTGCTTGACCCAACTAGAGTGTAGGAGAAGCTATGTTGGCCACGAAACTCGCGAAAAACGTGATAAGCCCTATGTATAGCCAGTGTTTGGTTTGTCCATTCTAAACTAGTGTAGAAACATGGCGGTTCAACATGGCCGACTCTGTAGAACAGTACCCACTCCCTCTGTAGATAAAAATGGCTCATTCTAAGGTAACAAAAACACAATTATTCTCATTTTCAGGTGATCATTAACTAATGAAAACATATCTATAAATATTTTATTCCATTTCTGACAATAGATCCTTCTTAATGTTACACACTGGACAGACCTTTAATATTTACATTCTTACCAAATTTATGAAAATCAGCATTTCACAGGTTGAAAATAGTTCAACACGCCCTCTACTGTTTTAAATCAACCTGAACCCTGCAAGGCCAATGCTGACATAGAGTCAACCATTTGGGACTACTTTAGGTCATGACGTTTATATAAAAAAAACAGCGCTCTAATCAGAGGAGGGCAACCCACCTGCCCAAGCCATCACTTAAAATGTGGGAGTCTGTGAACGCTGCGCTCATTTTCAAATGTAGACTGATGGAGACGCATCATTCACAGGTTTATGGTAGCATTGGTTCCGACTTTAGATGCTGCAATCTTTAACTTGATTCCATACACTGACAGTCCCCCCACACACATTACGGAGAGTTAACCTCTCTGAGCCGTTAGCTCAGCTACAATGCAGGTAGCACAACAAAACTTTTACAAACAGCTGATAATGTGCTTCTGGATACTGTAAAAGCTCCAATGGATCTCTGTGTTTCCAGAGCCTGACAGCAGCTGCTCATGGCTGGTTAGTTATGACTACCAGCTCGCTGTTTCTGCCACGCTGTTGTGGTCAGTCTGTTAATCACAGTGGTCAGTGTCAAGGCCACGTCTACTAAAGTCACTGTCCTTTGCAGATCTCTGATGCATTTTTTAAATTTGTAGAAAGGAAGGTAGCAAGCAGAATTGAATTCAAGTTGCATACTGGACCAGGTTAAAGTGTAACTATAACCTGGTCCAGTATGCAACTTGTACAGTGTGGTGTAGAGACTTGAAGCCACCAGTGCACATACACGGAGAATGGGCTTTACAGTGAAGTAGGAGACATCTCGTGTCCAACAGGAAAACTTTAGAAATCTACATTTGTATATTCATCAATTCTGGAATTCCTAATGAGGCAGAAGAAGTAGATGTTTTTTTAAAGTGGATATTATATTATTATCTTTGCAGACACACATTATTGTTCCAAGCAGACTATTTGTTTATGTCTTAAAAGTGGAGTCAGTCATTCTGATAAAAGACAGCTGATTGAGTCTCATTCCCAGTAATGTAGTAATGATGACCAGTAATGATTATGATTCGTTTCAGAGAAAATTAAATTTGCGATGCAAAAATGATAATTACCACAATATAATGTTTTTATCATAGTCAATTTCAATTAAATTAAATTGCATTTTATTTGTATGGTGCCAAATCATAACAGAAGTTATCTCAGGACACTTTTCAAAGCAGGTCTAGACCGAACTCTTTAAACATTACAGAGACCCAACAGTTCCACCATATTGTGCATTGGACTACAGTAGAAAGTGGCACCAAAACTATTCAATGCCCAGTGCAACAAAAACAACAACAACAACAACAACAATAATAATAATAATAATAATAATAATAATATGATTATCATTATAATCATAATTATTATTTATCCTATGAGTGTTAGGAGTGACCAGGAGTACGGTCTAGACCTGCTGTATTTTGAAAAGTTTTGTTATGAACTGGCGCAAATAAAACTGAATTGAACTAAATGATTGATGTATTTAGTTAGTTACTGTATGTGACTGCGTGTGCGGGGGTCAGCCAGGCTTGGGCCGGTGTGTTGTCCCTGCTGTCCTCCAATAGCTGTGCATCATGAGCTGTAGCAGCTCGGTAACAGTCGTCTCCGGGGAGAAGCTGCGTCCTCTAACGACCTTCTGTCTGCTGAGACAGTGATCTGGTGAAGGACGCGGCCGTGTGTGCGCAGTGCACCTGTAGCGCTGCAGCACGGCCGCTGCTCCAGAGCCACACAACAGACAGAGAGCGCGCGCACACACACACACACACACACACACACACACACACACACACAGCCAGCTGCTGACAACACACACATTTCCTGGTTCAGAGACGAGAGTGCACACACTGGATGAGTGTGATAGTGCGGTACCCACCTATCATCGAGCTGCACGAGGATGCTGCCGTTAACGCAGAGACGCAGACCAGATGCGAGCTGCCCATCCTGATCCTGATCCTGATCCTGATCCTGGTGCTGCTCTGCCTCCACTGCCTGAACACGTGCTGCGTTCACGTCCTGTAGGGAAGATTGGAGATACCAGCTTTTCTTTAAAGCTGCAGTAGGTAACCTTCTAAAAATAACGTTAATAACGTAAAAAACGTTTTGTTATATTTGCTGAAACTTTCCATATATCCCGACAGTAGTACACGAGACAGATAATCTGTGAAAAAAATCAGGTTCTTCTGGCTCCTCCTAGTGCTTCTAATGGCATTTGCAAGAATGTACCGGGATAACCCTAACCCTGAACGAAAACAACCAATCAGAGCCAAGAAAGATAGTGGATCGTTGACTCTCATTCCCTGGTTTTATATCAACGCTTTGAGTCCCAAAGCTTCAAACCATCAACCCAAAGTGTCAATATTTGACAGCCTGGGAATGATCCTCTGTTTTCTTACTAATGTGAAAAAATAAACTGGGAATGGAAAGATTACTCCTCAAGTTCACTCCTATATATAGTCCATGTATACTCTATGCATACTTAGAATATATATATATGAGCACTGACAGGTGAAGTGATTAACACTGATTATCTGGTTATCATGGCACCTGTCAGTGGGTGGGATATATCAGGCAGCAAGTGAATATTTTGTCTTCAAAGTTGATGTGTTAGAAGCAGGAAAAATGGGCAGTGTGAGGATTTGAGCGACTTTGACAAGGACCACATTGTGATGACTAGACGAAAACTGCAGTTCTTGTGGGGTGTTACTGGTCTGCAGTGGTCAGTACTTATCAAAAGTGGTCCAAGGAAGAAAAAGCGGTGAACCGGAGACAGGCTCTTTGATGAATGTGGGGAGAAAAGGCTGGCCCGTGTGGTCCGATCCAACAGACGAGCTACTGTAGCTCAAACTGCTGAAACAGTTAATGCTGGTTCTGATAGAAAGGTGTCAGAACACACAGTGCAGAGCAGTTTGTTGCGTATGGGGCTGATCGGTGTATTTATATGTATATATACACACACATACATTCATATGTTTATTTTTATTTTGTTATTTGAAGAAGTTTAATAAACAAGCATCATCAGTATCAGTGGTTGCTCAGCAAATCCAAGCTGAATAGTGTATTCAATAGTGTAATAGTGAATCAGAAAAGAGAAACAAATATTAAATAATAGGTTGATGATAAAAGATGTTAAATCAATATATAACAAAAGTAATTCAGAGAGACTTAAGGCTTTTTTTAAATCAGTTTTCTTAAAGTTCCAGTGTGTAACATTTAGGAAGATCTATTGTCAGAAATGAAATATTCATAGGAATGTTTTCATTAGTGCATCACCTAAAATGAGAATTGTTGTGTTTCTGTTACCTTAGAATGAGCTGTTTTTATCTTCAGAGGGAGTAGGTCACCTTCTATAGAGTCCACCATGTTTCTACAGTAGCCCAGAATGAACAAAACATTGGGTCTAGAAGCGTTCACACGGGTGAAGCAAGGGAGTTGACATCCATTAAGTCACCACTAGATTCCACTAAATCCTACACACCTTTAAGGATGAAACAAATATTTTCAAGTCATTTAAAGCTTGGAGCAACTTTAAAAAATCTACACGTATACCTGTAATCAAACTATTAGTACACCAAAATTCAACATTAACATCCAAACTTAACAGTGTGATATTCCAAAACAGGAATTACACTCTTAACTAACCACCCATGGATTCTGTCTTATATTACAACAATAAAAAAAACAATATTACAGGTGTATGAAAGATGTTCAATATATTTTTGACAAAATGTACATACATTAGTATCTTCATTAAATCTTACTCTTAATAATTCACTGCAAGGATAAATATCATGAATAGTTTGTAAATGAACCTCCTTCATTTTAGGTTTGAACGTTGACAGTGTCCACTCTTGAAAACGTTTCCTGCCACCAGCTGAGTGGCCACAAACACAAACATGGTTTCAGTGATTCAGTGTAACAGTGTAGCAGTAAGTGACAGACAGTGCATACTGATGTTAGATACTAAGTCATTATTTTGAAAGAAGGTTTCTAATTTTTCCGTCACACTGGCGGAAATGGGCTTCCATCCTTGCTGGGTGCAGTTGATGGAAGGTTGTACTGGGAGCCTGGGAGGAAGTTCTGCCTGAAAGACTGCACTCAGGGATAAAGCAACCCCTCCCATCTGATTGGGTCCTACACATTGACAGTGTGTATGGTCCTACAGAGCTTCCGTAGCCGACATGGCGTTCCTGCTAGAAGTTGTTGTGTTTGCTGTTTTACTTTTGTGTTTGTTATTTATTATCCGGTTATATATAGTTGTGAAGACAGGGTCAAAGTGTCGACCTGGAGCTAAAGGTCCGGTCGCTGTTGTTGTCGTTGCGGGATCAGGTAATGACATTACTCATGTAGCGTTAGCACTGTGCTAAGTGCTGCTATCTGCTGTCAGCACACTTAAACGCTACTTCAGTCATATTCTACAGACTTAAACCGATATGTTTTACTTTCCGACATATCACACATTATTTCTACGCACAATGGCGACCAAGCACAATATGTTTTCAAGTCTCGCCATTAGCTAACAGTTAAGTTAGCTGACTTCCTTAGCTTCCACGCTAACGATCTACTGGACTGTACCAAAATGTTGGTAATGGGGGGGGCTTTAGTGGCGTTACAGTTGGTCAAGTTGAAAATATGTGCATCAAATTACAATATACATAAAAATGTACAGTATATTATAGAATATAACACAATGTAGAAAATAAGAAATTCAAAATATGTATGTGTCAGAAAATTGTAAAAAACCTAAAAATGTGCAACAACACATGATGTGATAACACTGCATTATGTAATAATTGAGTTAATAATAAACAGTCTGAATGCAATATGTAATACAGTTCACTGTGTTTTGTAATAAATGATTGTTGTAGTGGTGATTACAAAATGAGGGGGTTTAAATGTCTAATAAATAAATACATACATAATAATCAACCAAAATGGATGGATCATGGATCATTTGTACACGTCATGTTTTTAAACTTCCCGAATGTTAAATGAGACTGCTATGACCTGTGGTGGCCCCTTGGCGTTACAGTTACTCATCTTACTGATCTTCAGACAGGGCTCCTGAAAAAAGTCCATCAAAAAGCTTCAGTTCATTCATAAAGCACTTCATAAAAAGTACAACTCCCACATTTTGTAACAGCCACTGCAATATGAAACACTTATTACAAAAGTCATTTTTCATGCAAAAACATTAGAAAATGCTTTTTTCAACATTTAAAAATATAAAGATTTCCTGCTTTTCTATGTTTTATACTATATTTAGCTAAATATCTTTGTGTTTAGACTGACAAAACAAGACACTTAAAGACCTCACCTTGGACTTTGAGAAACTGGGATGGACATAATCTAGAAAATAATCTAGTTAGTTGCAGCCCTGTTCCTCTGTGAGAGTGGCTTTGTTCTGAAATATCTCTCTATGCTATCAACATTATTCTTCATTAAAAGTAAGGGGCCTAGACCAAAAGTATGTTAACAAAGTACGTTAACAAGGATGTTTTCTGTGTATTTCTTTACTGACAGTAACTCTGGAGATGTATAATAAGAGTGTATAAGAGATGCTGTAGAAGCTGTGATGGAAATTGGAATAAGAAATGTCTTCCATGCCAGTATCTTCCTTTTAATGTTATTGTCTTGACAATGTGTGTGTCTCTGTGTAACTGACAGTGTGTCTTGTATGTTTTCCAGGCGGTCACACCTCAGAGATCCTGCGGTTGATGGAGTGCCTTTCTGCAGCATACATGCCTCGGCACTATGTTATAGCAGACACTGACAGGATGAGTGAGGAGAAAATCTGTGCCTTTGAAAGCTCTAAACAACACTCAGACCCTGAGTCCCAGGTACACAGCTGTCCACAGGTGTAGGTTAGGGTGGTGGTGGTTTGTCCCTACCACTGTGAGGGCGCTGCTGAATACTCGCTACCAATGTGTTTCATTTTTTCCCCCTACATTATTAGATTGTTAATTATCGTAAGTACCATTTTACTGTTGTGAAAAAGCTAGTTTAAATGACTTTATATACAGTTGGGTAGTTTAGTCCAGAGCTCTAGATCAGGGGGTCACCAGATAAATCTGTGTCATGATTGATGGGGTAGCAAAAAAAGAGAAACGTTTGGAATTTCTATCTAATCTTTGCTTTTTGTAAAATATATGCTTTTTGTAATATATATATATATATATATATGATTTCATTTCAATAATATGTATTATATATATATATATATATATATAATACATATTATTGAAATGAAAGTGAAGTTTAGAGGCTAAATGTATTTTTGGTGGAACTGCTAACAACTCTGAGCCCTGTGACAGGGCCACTTTTGAGGTTGTGTGGCCTAAATCAACACATTGATAGAATCTCAGGTAAGGTCTGAAAATCATTTACAGCAGACAGTTGGTTCAAACAGAACCTGGTTACCTACAGATTATTTTCTTTATATTTATTATGAGAATTTCATATTTCTTTTTTTATTATTAATTTAAGCCTCAGATTCATATAATACAATGTAAAATCTGAGAAAAATTCACACTATACAAGTCCTGTTTTAGGTGAGTTATAGTGTGCACAGATGTGTGAATATTACAGAGCATTGTTTATATTGACTGGGAGAAAGCTGATAAGTGTGCGCAGTGACTGCTGGGACTGCCTGTGGTTTAGTGTTAATATTCACCAGCAGGTGGCATGAGTAAACTCTTCATCTTTGCTTCTCTAGTAAAGATTTTATTGCAGACCAATTTAGTTTTTTAGTTTAGACCAATTAGTTGATTAGCTAATAGGTTAGCAGACTTATCGGTGCAGCCTTTTGTTTGACATTATCTGAATGAAGATATCAATCAAACCTACACACTGGACCTTTTTAAAGGCTCAGTTTGTCAGGATAATAATCCACAGACTTTTTTTCCTTTGCCTTTATTGAGTGTACAAGTCAGATGTAGACAGGAATTATGGTCAGGAGAGAGCTGACATGATGACATGCAAGGTACCCAGCATGAATGGAACCAGAGATGTGAAATACACTTTGCATTGTTTCAAATGTACTTTTGAATGGCTTGAGCGCCACAAATGAAATTTCTTACATATCTGTCCATTGTTGACCTGGAAGCAGGAATTCTCTCCAAAATATTTGCATAGCCACATGTACATTTCTTGGAATTTGGGCGAACTGAACCTTTATTTAAGCCAATTCATTTTTTTATCTAAAGACCACCATTTTTTCTGAATCAGATTTTTTTGCATTAAGAAAAGCAATGTCTCTGAGCACCTCTGAAGGACATGTGCCCTTCTTCCCCAGTTCACCATCTGCCGGATCCCACGGAGCCGAGAGGTGCATCAGTCTTGGAGTTCCTCTGTTATCAGCACACTGAACGCCCTGCGCTACTCCCTTCCTCTGGTGTTCAGACTCAGACCTGACATGGTGAGTGGACCCAGGGAGCAGTCGGTAGCTGTTCTCACACAGCAATCTGTACTCTTATATATATATATATATATATATATATATATACATACACTATGTGGACAAAAGTATTTGGCCAACTTGAATTCAGGTGTTTAAGTCAGACCCCTTGCCACAGGTGTATAAAGTCAAGCACCTAGCCATGCAGTCTCCATTTGCAAACAATTGTGATGCAAAATGGGTTGTTCTGAAGAGGTCAGTGACTCCAAGCGTGGTACTGGATGCCACTTTTGCAATAAGAAGGTTTGTGAAATTTCATCCCTACCTGATATTCCACGGTCAACTGTAAGTGATATTATTAGGAAGTGGAAGCGTTTAGGAACAACAGAAACTCAGCCCCGAAGTGGAAGACCACGTAAAATCACAGAGCGGGGTCAACGTCTGCTAAGGCTCATGGTGCGTAAAAGTCGCCAACACTCGGCTGATTCCATAGCTGAAGAGTTCCGAACTTCCACTGGCATTAATGTGAGCACAAAAACAATGCGGCTGGTGCTTCATGGAATGGGTTTCCATGGCCGAGCAGCTCGGTGTGGAAGAACTTGACTGGCCCGCACAGAGCTCTGACCTCACCCCCATCGAGCACCTTTGGGATGAACTGGAATGGACATTGTGAGCCAGACCTTCTCATCCAACATCAGTGCCTGACCTCATAAATGCTCTACTGAATGAATGGGCACAAATTCCCACAGAAACACTCCAAAATGTTGTGGAAAGCCTTCCAAGAAGAGTGGAAGCTGTTATAGCTGCAAAAGGGGGACCAGCTCACCAGACACCAGATGTGTTTGAATACAATGTTATTTCAGTCCCTGTTGGTATTATGGTCAGGCGGCCGAATACTTTTGTCCATATAGTGTATATACACACACATCCCCCCCACACACACATACACATACACATACAGTAGTTGCATTATGGGAAATGCAGCATCTAGTATTTTTGGAGCTTGACCTATCCTAGAGAGTCAGGATATCTCAGCCTGTGCTGCATATACTGTGAGCCTCCTTTTTATAATCTGTTTGAAGTGATTCCTCCATCTTTATAGAAGTACAAAACTGGATATGCAACAGCTGAATAGGGAGAAGAACAACAGATATCACCATGAAACTTCCCCAGTGTATTACTTAAATTAAGATAATTATTTTTTATATTACAAGTTTTCTGAAATTGTGTTTAAATATTCAAAAAAGTGATTTTCTATTTAAAAATGCTCTTATTTGAACAATTTCCAGAACAGAAATCTGAACATTGGCTAAAACCAGGTTCATAACTTTGTTTAATTTTGGTGACATATAAAATGTGATATAAACCAGGCTGTGAATGATATATGAACAAAGCCCTCTGTAAAAAGCTTCAGAATATAGATAGGAAAAAAAACATGAAGGTTTAGTGTATGTAAGTGAAGTGGAGATTTCTGGTGTGACAAATGAAGGTTTTCTGAAATATAATGTTTAAATATGCAAATTAGGCATTTTCTAATGCTAACTTTTGGTGAAATGTATAGATGCAAATAGACAAAGGGTAGTAAAAATAAACAGCGAAATGTGTATTTTTTTCCACTAGTCTAAAAGAAGACATGGAAGCAACATAAAAACTATAAACTAAATTAAAACAGCAGTGATGATCCGGCCCTCGCACTCAGTGCAGGTCGGGGTGTGCTGCCGTCGCGTCACGCACCAGTACATCATGACAACACCAAGCTACGAAAATTTCACAGAAATCACATCACAATCGCCACACAAGGCTTACTTCCTGTTGCCAGTAGTTGACGCTATGACAGACTGAATATTGGTACTTAAAGACCAGGGCTCTTAACAAACTTGTGAAGTTTGGGTCCAAATGGAGAATCTGTACTGCAGTCAGGGTTAGCAGTAGGGGAAGGGTTTCCATTGTCATGTCGAGGCTGATTTTTGAAGGCATGCCACGGACACACTGCTTGACCAAATGTAAAGATTTTAATAACGTAATGGCTCCAAGAGGCTTTTTTGTACGTCCTGACATGATACATATGCCTGTCAATTTACATTCATGTCCGTAAAACAGGACATCGGGGCTGTTGTTTTGAAAGTTTGTAGAGGCCGCTATCGAGCCATTTTGACGCACCCGCATGCGAGACCCATGCAACACAGTTCAATAAAAGTTCATAAGATTCATAAGATGTCATTGTCAACATTCTAAGGGTCTTCTGACCAAATTTCAGCCAATCTGCTTGGAGAAAAACATAAAAGTGTAATAAATTATATTTCCGGTTGCCACTAGGTGGCGCTATCACTTTTACTGAATATTATCACATAGATGTGTTCAGGGCGGGACTCTTATCAGACACTTGAAGTTTGGTGCTGATTGGATGATGATGCTCCTCCGCTGTCAAGCCATTTTTCTGCGCATCTGTCAGAGACTCATAAATTTGCCAAGTTTCGCCACGACTGAGATGTGCGCAGAATTTCAGGACTTTTCGGATATGATAAAGCCTCCAAAAAGCCATTTGAAATGTCTGAATAATAACAATAATAATAATAAGAAGAATTCCTACAAATACAATAGGGCCTTCGCACGATTTGTACTCGGGCCCTAATAAAGTAAACCATGATTTGCCTGTAGTGTCTCCTTACATTGATTCACTATGGAAGAACACAAACCCACTCAACTCCACCCTGCACCTACAGGCTCTATATGCAGATAACATACAAATATGAACGCTGAAAAATGTTTCCTTCTGAAATGTATTTAAATTGGGCTGCATAACAAGATCATGCTCATTGAATTACACAAGCTCAGTCTCGTGAACAGATTGGCTTTTAAAAGATATTCTTATTCCAAGAACATATTTAACAATATCTAATTCTGAAGTGGAAAACTTAATTAGTGCTGAATGCTATTCATTATTCCCTTCAAAACAACAAAGAAGTAGACTAATGGTCATAGGAATCTAAGTGTATGCTGTTGTAGGAGTGCTAGCAAAATGCACTGTGATTGAATGTATGTGGATAAAGATGTGTCACATATACTAGTAATATGTGACATATTTTATGCATAGTTTTGTGACCAATGAGCCAAATATTCTCCACACATTTTCTTTTATTATTGAAGTATTCTGAGGAGTCACAGGACAATATGAAAATTTCATGTCACAATCATCCTGACCAAAATAGTTTTCCAATATTATTGCAATAATCATTAACATACTTAACATTCTGAAAATGCCACAAAAACAAATCAGTTTATCTTACATTTACATTTTATTAAGACACAAATACATAGGCATCGTATCTCCCTGTCGATCTTTAGTTAGGAATGCAACTCAACCTTTTTTTGTGGGGGATACAACGGGCAAACCAAACCTTCAGCCATGGTGACAGGATTAGGATTTTAGAATCACTAGAAAGATGTGGGTTCTCCCTTCAGGAAATTAATATGGGACTGAACGTTAGTGAGCTGCACAGCTTTTTCAAGTCACTTGTAGATATTCATGATTATCCCGATATAGAATTTCACCACATTATACTTATCTGGGTGCTACTGAGATTATAGGATGCAGAGATCCACCTTTGCTAATGTGTGTTGTGCTGTGCTGCTCTGTAGCTTCACACAGACGACTATAGCGGCTGCAGTCTGGGGGCCTGTTGGATTCTGCCAGTGTGTTTCTGGCTTTAGTCTTGAATATTGTACTGGAGTTACTCTACTTGACATCTTTGTTGGGTCTCTGCTCTGTTTAAACCTGGAGTCCAGACTGTTTGCTCAATTCACATATGATAAATCTATCTTATAATATGACTGGAGAACAAACAATCAGGCACATTTATTGTGTCTGGAAGTTTTATCAGGTTTGTTGGGTCTCACCTGACCTGGTTAACAAAGCAAATACAGTCTGGCAGTGGTATGTTTCATTGTAAACACACACCAGACTCTTGTATAATATTCTGCCTCTTTACTTGTGTCTTTATGCTGCACAATCAACAACCTACACCCAGCGTATCAATATAGATCAAATAAACAGACATGAATGTTTTTGACTAAACTAGTGAATTAAATACTTGACACATATCATCACATTAGGAATGTCAGGTCTTGGTGACTGCTGATGATGATTGGTGCCCAGATTCAAAGCAAGCTGTGCCATTTCTCCCATAGTGTTTTCCCACCAAATTAGCTCTGGTTCTTGAACTGGTCCTGTTCAAGACTCCTGGGACCTTGGTCGCTGCAAAATGGCCCACGTTTCCACCAGTTTTGAGTGGAACCATTGTTCCAGACCTCTGGTTTTCTATCCATATGTACCTTGAATAAAAATAAAGGTGGATGGGCTTAATGTTCATAAAAAGAATCAGGCCTTTAAATGGGCCAAGATCAATGTACTGAACTACTTTCCAGAGACTGAATTGATACTTTAGATAAGGTTCAGACTGTGTCATATTATTTATTTAAACGTTTGTGGTTTAATTTGTCCTAGTTGTAAGATATCTGTCTGAGATTTCTGCCTCCAGCCAATACAATGGAGGTCAATTAGTGCTCCTTACAAAAACTTTATTTAAAAGACTTCAGCAGCACATTATTTTCCAGAAACTGTCCTCTGTACTCTGGACTCTGAATAATTCACTGAACACAGTGTGGACATTTTTCTTCCTCAATAGAAAGTAAAATTTGACTTCCCTGACATCGGAGCACAGTTTTTGTGAAACCTGAATACAACAGAAATGTCAGTAAGTAAGAATCTGTCAGCTTATCTCCTCTGATAATGTAGCGTGCCTCTGGTCTGTGTAAGCTGTATGTTGAGCAGATTCCAGACCTGTGACCGCTCTTTCTGGATGTGTGTCCAGCAGAATCCTCTGGTTATTGGTGGCTGGTTGGAAACAAAGCCGGGGACTTAGTGCCAGGGCAGTCATGCCAGGAATGTTCCAGTCAGGCTTATGACTGTAGCATGGCGGAGGAACAGTCGTAACCCTGGCACTGATTCTACAATAAGGGGATTTTACTGGTGCAACTGCTGAGAACTTGACCATCTTCAGCCAGCTGGGGCTACCAGAATCTCCACACTTTAGACCCCGCTGCAGAAAGTACTTGGTGTGCTTTTATAGGGAGGTTCTGAATAAGACAAATATTGAACTTTTATATCTCATCACAAATATGCCACATCTGGCCAGCTGCTACTGGTTGAGGGGAGCTGTGTGTGGGGCCAGGCCAATACAGGCTTCTGTTGTTGTCACAAAATGTAAACTGTAAATGTAAAGCAGGAAACAAATGAATTTTAAGATGGGATATGATAAACACATGAATTAATTAACAAAAATTGTACATTTTAAAAGACAAGATGCTAGTTAACAACTGATGCACATTAGCTAGCTATTTAGCCAGTGTTTTGCTAACATGAGCTAACTTGTGTGGCTATGTAAATGTTTCTTTTATCTTTTAACCGTCTTCAAAATGTGGTTGTCTTTTCAACATAGATTAGCCTAGCACATAGAATATGTAGGTCATCCACTAATCAGGAGGTTGTTGGTTCGATCCCCGGCTCCTCCCACCAGTAGTATCCTCGAGCAAGATACTGAACCCGGATTTGGGTGAATGTGTATGAATGAGTGAGTTTCTGTTTGATGGGCTATGCCATCACTGTGTGAATGTGTGTGAAAGGGTGAATGTGGTCTTTGAGTGGTCGGAAGACTAGAGAGGCGCTATACAAATAAAGGCCCATCCATTTACCATTTACCGAGGTTCTGACCGAGGCTTGCTCAACTTATTGGAGCACAGAGCACTTAGGGAAAATTAAAAAGAATAAAATACCTGAAACTAATAGAAGATAAAAACAACAACAATAATAAAATAGATGAGAAATGATGGAAATAAAACGGTGTGCTAGAATAAATAAAGGTTTTGAAAAGGTACATTTTGAGAAGTGATTTAAAAGATGTCACTGATTCAGCAAGCCTCAGACTTCACTAAAGTGTTAATGTTTACATGGCCATGAAGTCAGATTCCTCCAACAGGAGCTGTGTTAACGGCTGTGGCTCAGAGGCAGAGCGAGTTGTCCACTAATTGGAAGGTTGTTGGTTCGATGGTCGGTCCATTTACCATTTAACTGTTTTTAATTGTTTATGTTGTAAGGAGCATAAGAGAGCTGACAATTAGCAGATGAGAGTAAACTCAGTGCCTGGAAACGTCTGGGCAGGGGAAATGAGAGTTCTACTTACTGCAGCCAGAGGGGGCTTAAGATCAAGTGGTGAAATCTACTGATGTTTATGGCAGACTCCACAGACTGTAAACTGACCACCTATTTTTACAAGTAAACAAGTGAAAGGTTTGTGATGCAGATGCTTACATCTGCTGCTACATGAACCGTTCTTTTTGTAGGTTAAGGGACTCTTCTATGTCTGTTGTTGAGGTGTAAGAATGACAGTGTTAAGCTCTGAGTGCAGAGTGCGGGGCAGCTCTCTGTAGTTTCCAGAGCATTGAGCAGAGAATATTACAGTTTCTGTACTGTGGAGCTGTATGATGACTTCTCCAGACTCCAGAGCAGCTCTTTCTGGTTTCCTGTAAACCCAAACTCCCTCAACTCCCTCAGCCTCCTTCAGCCCTGAGGCCACTTCTTCATCCCAGTCCCCTCCCCCCTTCTTTCTTCACTGCTGCCACTGAGTCACACACAGTTTCTGCTCTCTTTTCCTTTTTCATCGTCAGACTATGCATTCACCACATTGCTTCAGTTCAGCTCAGTCATGTAGAGCTTAAGCATTGCACATCCTCCACACTCCTAACCCACGAGATCTCAACAACTAACACACAATAATTTCCTGTACTGTCTTCTAGCTCTACAGTTTTTGTCTAAAATGAATCAACATCTACCTGAGACTCCACAACACAGACTGTATACATAAAGCTGTGAGCAGTGTTTTTTTCTTAACATATCATTTCAATAGAACAATTTTAAAAGATCTGAAGAGGCCTGAACGTACTGACTGCTTCACTTGAAAAGGCAAAAGTTAGAGAAAAGTCTCAGTTAATGTGTAACAGAAATATTTTATAATTAAATGTACAACAAGGGGTTATGAAAGTTTAATAGTGATGCCTGTATATGAACCTACATAAACAAAAAAAGATGATTGGAAATGAGAAGATTGGATACTTCTATGTAGTCATTCCTAATGCCAGCCACCAGGTTGGATTCCCATTGAAATCCCATTGATTCCCATTGATTCCCATTGAAATCCAACCTGGTGGCAGGCATTAGATCTATCTATCTATCTATCTATCTATCTATCTATCTATCTATCTATCTATCTATCTATCCATCTATCTATCTAATGCCTGCCACCAGGTTGGATTCCCATTGAAATCAATGAAATTAGGTTGTATTTTGATCATTGATGTTTTATTTTTCTTATAACATTTTGCACATATAACAATAAAAATCAAACCAATAAATCACGCTTTGATACAACCATGGTTACCATTATTCATATTTTAAAGAGACAGAAGTCTGTTGGGTATGGCATTAGCATAGTGTAATTAATCTGCATTTGATAGTTTTGAATTTGAAATATTCAAACTGAATATTGTATGCAATTGCAATTGAATTCACTTTTCAAATTCAGTTTCTCAAAATTCAGTCTAAACTCAGACGCACTCATCTGGGAGACTCTAGATATAAAATAGAAGACCTCTGATTCAATCCAACTCCTTTCAAAGGAATTCTTCAGACCACAAGGATTTCTGGGTATGTAGGCCATGAGCATAGCCGTGTACTCTTTCCCATTTTATCAAAGCTAACAAAAAAAATTCTGTTTGTGCTTGCACTGAAATGACTCCATATACAAGTCTGCCAAAGTATTGAATTGTGAACCAGTGAAATACAGTGAACATATTAAAGTGTGTTCTTTGGAGACTACAGTGCTTGGCTGCCAGCTTTTACAGTGGCTCAAACAGACAGCTGGATCTCACAAGAAAAACTAGATCTCTTGATGAAAAACAAATCAGCCTGTTATGTGTCTCTGTACTGGACACACAGGGATTAAACAGATATTGATCTTAAGACTTTAGCCAGTTTCTGTCATGTAACATGATGTCACAGATGTGCTGATGTCCATCTCCCAGAGGCTCCTTTCTATGAATGTGGGTGTCACTTCCTGGAAATGCGCTTATCCCCCTCCTCTCTGTGTGTGTGTTGTTTCAGGTGCTGTGTAACGGCCCCGGGACCTGCGTTCCCCTGTGTGTGGCAGGACTACTGCTTGGAATTCTGGGAATGAAGAAAGTCCTGATAGTTTATGTTGAAAGCATTTGCCGGGTGCGGACGCTGTCACTCACGGGGAAGATCCTGTACCCCATATCGGACTATTTCTTTGTACAGTGGTCCCCTCTGAGGGACAAATACCCCAAATCCATTTTCCTTGGAAGGATAGTGTGAAAATGTCTGTTACCTAAAGTATACACAAATGTAAGATCAAATATGTTGTAATGGTCATGGATAAATGCTATTTTTTATTGTTGAATTATGTTTATACGTTATGATTCATTGTGCAACATACTTGCAGTTACATAGAAAAACATTCATAATTGGTAAGATTATAGAAAGTATTATTGAGGAGCATCATTTCTATAGCCTACAGGAGGTCCTTTTCAGGTCTTATCAGAATCTTAATTGCATTGTTTTACATGTTTATTGTTAGATAACATGAGATATTTTAACTGTAATACAATCAAATACAACAATCCTATCATCCAGCCTATCTTTTTAAAACGTTACTAATATGTTTGATCAACTGTTTAAGACTAGAAATTCTCCATAATTTTATTATAATTAATGTTAAATAATGAAATCAATGGAAAGTGCAACAGCTACATAAGTACATCAGTCAGCCAGTAATCAGAGTTTCAACTGGGACTGAAAAGATCAGAGCAGAGCTAATATAAAACTGGCTTTTCTGACAACTGAACTTGAGATTTACAATGAATAAAGCTTGGTGCAATAAGATTATAAAGGAAACCATGATTTAATCCAGATTTAAGGTTAATCCTTACACAGCAAAAACAGTCCTTCTACAAACAAGCCAGATATTCCTAAATGCGGTGGGTACGGAAAGTATTCAGACCCCTTTACATTTTTCACTCTTTGTTTCATTGCAGCCATTTGCTAAAATCAAAAAAGTTCATTTTATTTCTCATTAATGTACACTCAGCACCCCATCTTGACAGAAAAAAACAGAAATGTAGAAATTTTTGCAAATTTATTAAAAAAGAAAAACTGAAATATCACATGGTCATAAGTATTCAGACCCTTTGCTGTGACACTCATATTTAACTCACATGCTGTCCATTTCTTCTGATCCTCCTTGAGATGGTCCTGCTCCTTCATTGGAGTCTAGCTGTGTTTAATTAAACTGATTGGACTTGATTAGGAAAGGCACACACCTGTCTATATAAGACCTTACAGCTCACAGTGCATGTCAGAGCAAATAAGAATCATGAAGGAACTGCCCAAGGAGCTCAGAGACAGGTTACAAAAGAATTTCTGCAGCACTCAAGGTTCCTAAGAGCACAGTGGCCTCCATAATCCTTAAATGGAAGAAGTTTGGGACGACCAGAACTCTTCCTAGACCTGGCCGTCCAGCCAAACTGAACAATCGTGGGAGAAGAGCCTTGGTGAGAGAGGTAAAGAACAACCCAAAGATCACTGTGGCTGAGCTCCAGAGATGCAGTAGGGAGATGGGAGAAAGTTCCACAAAGTCAACTATCACTGCAGCCCTGCACCAGTCGGGGCTTTATGGCAGAGTGGCCCGACGTAAGCCTCTCCTCAGTGCAAGACATATGAAAGCCCGCATAGAGTTTGCCAAAAAACACATGAAGGACTCCCAGACTATGAGAAATAAGATTCTCTGGTCTGATGAGACCAAGATTGAACTTTTTGGCGTTAATTCTAAGTGGTATGTGTGGAGAAAACCAGGCATTGCTCATCACCTGCCCAATACAATCCCAACAGTGGTGGTGGCAGCATCAGGCTATGGGGATGTTTTTCAGCTGCAGGGACAGGACGACTGGTTGCAATTGAAGGAAAGATGAATGCGGCCAAGTACAGAGATATCCTGGAAGAAAACCTCTTCCAGAGTGCTAAGGACCTCAGACTGGGCCGAAGGTTCACCTTCCAACAAGACAATAACCCTAAGCACACAGCTAAAATAACAAAGGAGTGGCTTCGGAACAACTCTGTGACCATTGTTGACTGGCCCAGCCAGAGCCCTGACCTAAACCCAATTGAGCATCTCTGGAGAGACCTGAAAATGGCTGTCCACCAACGTTCACCATCCAACCTGACAGAACTGGAGAGGATCTGCAAGGAAGAATGGCAGAGGATCCCCCAAATCCAGGTGTGAAAAACTTGTTGCATCATTCCCAAGAAGACTCATGGCTGTAGTAGCTCAAAAGGGTGCTTCTACTCAATACTGATCAAAGGGTCTGAATACTTATGACCATGTGATATTTCAGTTTTTCTTTTTTAATAAATTTGCAAAAATTTCTACATTTCTGTTTTTTTTTTTCTGTCAAGATGGGGTGCTGAGTGTACATTAATGAGAAATAAAATGAACTTTTTTGATTTTAGCAAATGGCTGCAATGAAACAAAGTGAAAAATTTAAAGGGGTCTGAATACTTTCCGTACCCACTGTATATTGGCTTGTGTTAAGCCAAACAATCTGCCAATCGGGTAAACCAATTTTGTTAAGCTAAAATGTATAAACGTAGAAATCTAGCTACCAAGACTGTAATGGGCCTTAAAACTAGGAAAAACGCCAGAATTTAAGCAAGTTGTGCTTAATACAAGCAATGAAAACTCAGTTATTTAAGACTTATAGAAAGACTTCAAATAGATCAACACTGGGTTATCCGACTTTCTCTAAGTTATGCAAGTGGTCTAACTCTTAAAACAAGGAAAATAATGTTGTTCCTCTGCTGGGATATTTTGCAAACCATTGTTGTAACTTCTTACTGGTTAAATCTAGCTCAATATATGCTGTAATATATTATTAAGACAAAGTTAGATTTTCTTAAAACCAGATTATCTTTTCTAATGCAAAACATGCTACAAGATTAGATTTCCCAGAAACAAGGCTTTTCCTTCCTAAGATTCCTTTTTTGTTGTGTAATTTGTGGAATATGAAAGGTCAACAGAGAAAGCAGCATAATTCAGGCTTTAAGTGTTCAAAAGCACAACTACAACACAGGGCATGTCAAAAAGACCTCTTTCTATGTAACAAGCCTGTTTCAAACCCATTGTAGTCTCTAGAAGCTGACAAAAATCCACAATCTCCAGTTTTAAAGAGAAAAAAAAATTCTACATTGAGCAAAACAAAAATCAAGATGAATTCAGTGGCTTTTGTAACTTGTTTCTAAATTGAAAGGTCACTGTCAAATATTACACCCAGGTTTCCGACTGCAGGTTTGACATTTGTAGACAGGGAGCCAAGATGTTTCAGACAGACTTTGGAGGAAGGTAGGAAGGAATATTGTATTTATGCATGATATGTCCCAGTTGAAGCACGTACACACAGAACGACAGTGGGCCAAGGATGGGGCCTTGGGGAACCCCACAGGTCAGAGAGGCTCCCGCCGTCAGTGGGTGAAAATAACATTTTAATACCAAATGTAAAAAGCTTTTTTTGCCCAAAACTGCATGAGATTATATTACATGGGCATGTCTGCAAAGTGGAAACTTACTTACTTATTTAATTACTGTCTTGCCCATAGAACCAATTTTCATTCAGATATCTTGAAGTCTTAAGTCAAGGGATCCCTTTGAAAATGGCCATGCCAGTTTTCTATTGCCAACATTTAGCCTATGTTTTGAGAATTATTTAGGCCCCTTCCTGAAATGGTAGCATGACATTGGTCATTGGTTGGTACAAATGGATGTGTTAGGTCATCTAATTTCATAAGATACCAGTATCTATACCAGTAAGGAAAATGGGGACTTGGGATGGCCAATCACATTTTCCCCCTCTGCACAATATGCCTGATCCCAACCCACTTTTCAATGCAATCCAATAGAACGAAATAGAATGATCAACTGTGCCATTTATTTTTTACCCTTTAGACTAGGTTGTTTTTGCTCAAATGAACCAACCTAACCTGCACGTCTGAGAGCATCCAGAGAGGGAGGAACCAGCGGCTGCTCTTATTGGCTGCTGTGGCTACGTCAACCATTTGACGACATTTTTTGCAATCTGTCCCACAGACAGTTCAGTCTTTGGTCCTCCTGTGTGAACCCTCTCGGAATACTTCCCTCCTGCTCTTGCTGTTTCTGGGACCAAAGCAAACCGTGCTCGGTAGCAGTTTTCCACTGCGGACTGTGTGCTACATTGTAGCTGAGGATATTCGTGTGAAACCGACAAAATGACACATTTCAACAAGGGGCCAGCCTACGGACTGTCTGCTGAAGTCAGAAGCAAAGTAAGTGTTGTCCTGTCTCTACCTTTCTGACTTTAAAGTGAACCCAGGTTTAACTAAAGCATTTGTATCACTGTGTCTAAACAAACCAGTTTGCTCTCGTTCTTTCTTTGTCCCGTTGAAAAGCAACACACCGAACTCTGCTGTTCATCACAGCCGCACAAAGGCTGCACAAAGTTCCCCAAAGTTCCCCAAAGTTCCCGGATTTCGGGATCTTCTTTTCCCTTCGGTCACGTTGTATTAGGTTAAAAAGAACAACGGCTGCATTTGGTACAATGAACGGCCAACTTTAACTTTACACCAACAAAGGCTGAAGAAAGGAATGTGAGCTAAGGTTAACAGAGGTGTTAGTATTACGGTCTACCTGGGGGTTGGATGCAGCCTACAACCCGTTAAAGTCCAGCCCCTAACTTAGGTTGTCCAAACCTCTTTTAGCCACCGTCTACTGACTATAGTAGGCTGTAAAGTCAATACAGACATTGGGTCGATACCGCCGTTTTCCCTCAGTGATGGGAAACAAACTTTCCTTCCGTTCCTCTTTGTTTTACAGGAGCCAGTGGCGGACTCCGCCTGTATGAGGGGCAGGGGTGAATAAAAGGAAAAGTTGTGATGCATTTATGGTGAAACAACTTAGTCAGAGTTAGACATTTGCATCGCAGAGGGTACTTTATCTCTTTTTCTCCACTGAAAGAGCACCATAGTGGTTACTTTATCTCATTTTGTCCATCTAAGGACACCTTAGAGCAGTAGTTTTTCCTTAAGGGAAACTGACAACCCCTGTTATAATGACATATTTTATGGATATTTCATATTATATTCAATACATTACAAAAACAGTAGAGAACAACTGATAAGCTGTACAATGAACCCACACAGTGAACACAATAACTGCAGGAAGTTTATGTAAAACCAGAGATTTGGAGTTTTCCCCATATTTTTAGCAACTTTTCATACCATTCTCTGTCTGTATGATGTATTTTTTTATTTTTAACAATCATACATATTGAATATGGTTCTTTTGGTCATTCCATTCATTCTGTGAAAAAGTCTAAATGAAATTCTTATTTTTAAAGTTTAGATTATTATTTAAGAACTAAACTTTGAACACCTCAACCTGCATTATAAAAGTACACAGTTAAAGAAGGAAACAATGAACTTCACAGGAAATAAATCTGGTTTTACACAAACTGTTGTTATTGTGTTCACTGTTTGGGTTCATTGTAAAGTTTATCAGTTGTTCTCTACTGTTATTGTTTGCATTGAATATGATATTGAATATCCAAATATGTCAGGTAGTTAGGGATCGTCAGTTTACTCATTGGAAGGGCACCCTAGAGGGCACATGTGGTCATGAAGGGGGTAGATTGCCACCTCACACAGTCCACCAGTGATAAGAGCACTTTTAAAATGTAGTCACAGAGTTAAAGCTGTCATGTGAACTTATTTTGATGTTATGAAGCACTAACTTTGAAATTGAAGTTATGGTCTGTGGAGGAGAGCTGTTTTCCAGCTGGGGCTGTGTGGCTGGCTCCTGGCGTACGATATATGATCGGGGAGAACAGGGTTGGTTGTCACATTTGTTAGATCTTGCTCCATAGTGGGGGCTGTTAAAAACGTTGGTACTGAAACTTTCCGAATTAGGGTCAGAGGTCACCTACAGGGTCATTTCAGGAGTGAGACACTTGACATTGAGGTCAGAGGACTTTCATGTCAAAATGTAAATGTGCAGCTCTTCCATCTATTCTCATCCAGGCTTTTACACACACATCTCAAGGAACAGCATATCTGCTTTGACTGTTAAACTGAAGTTATGTATTTGTATGTGTAGATTGATTCATAACCATGTTACAGATGTGTGTAAGTATGAAGATTATAAAAACATAAACAATATGTTGTAAGTCTCTGAAAGTTGACTTTAAAGAGGAGTTCCACACTAAATTTCCTTTGACGCTGTTACACTTAATGACATAGATTCATGTAGACAAATAATACAGTTTTCCAACAATATGCAGGTGTAAAAACTGCAGTTTCTGCTCAAAACTAGCTTGTATTTGTCTTCTTGGATGTGTTCAGCCAAATTCCCTTCCCCTCTGTTACCGTGACAATGACTCTGATGTGTATTTCATAGTGTATGTAGACACATAGCAGGGCTGTGAAGCGTTTTTTGGCGCAGTGGCTGTAAAATGTGAATACTTTTGCCCCTGCAAAAACTCTTGTTGTTATCAGATTTGATCCATTTGATCCAATAACATTTGGACCATCTTTGAGAGTTGGATAATTAAATTATTATAATTAAATTATTACTATGGTATGCATTAAAAATGAGTCTGCCACAGTGTAATGGTTTTAAATAGCCAGAACATGCAAAAACACACTGCTATGGCCCTGGCATTCGTTCACGATGGTGTCCGTATAGTAGCTAACTGAACTGGCTTCTGCTGCTGTTCACCTGCTCGTCTCTGCCAATACTTTCAAATCAAACCTTTTCAGGACAAATACAGGCTGGAACAGCAATAGAAAAGCGATGCACAGTGATACACTAGCCTGTTTGTGGTTATCCCATTTAAACCTTAAGCGTGTGTAAGGTCACAGTGGAAAATATTCTCCTAACAGGAAGTGACTCATCTGAACTGTCAGGAATAGAACTGGTGTTCTAAGAAATTAGCTCTTTGGTCTCTGAAGAGAGATTAGAGGATGGTACCAGAGTTGTCTTTGTCTTGTACTTAGTAAACCTACTGTCCTCAAAGCCTTCACTAATTGTATGAGTCACTGTTCAAAGTATAAAGGTATGTGTTGTGGTAAGCAAAGCTGGTACCATTTTATTATTTAGCTCATTGCAACTCATGATGGTACTGTTATAATTCATCTGCCTAACTTTGTGTGTACTTGAATTATGCTGCATAAAAGTGCTGGTTTATGAGTTGGCCAGCACACTGTACACTAGAGATGTCCCGAGCCGATCCTGAAGCTCAGTATTGGGGCAGATCTGGACATATCTTGATGGATCAGTGTTGGCTCAAATAATATACAGTCACAGTGGTTACATCCACTATTTTATATATAGTCAGTGTGTTTACTACTGTCAGCTTAACAAGGCTTCAGACAGGCACAGAGGCACTATATATTACTGTATCTGGAAAACGTTCAGGTCAAAAACCTGCCACATTAAACTTCTTCAAGTGTGACTTTCTTTAACTGTGACTTTTTTACACGCATGTAGAGTGATGAGAAAACTAATGTCTAATGGAAATGTTTACATTTCCCTGAGCACTTTAAGGACCTCTCGTCCATGTTGGCCTATGGGTACAGCAAGTATCATACCCACAGACTGCAAATGTTACCACAGACACTTATGTAGTCACCCAACGTAGCATAAACAGAACGGTGTCCTTTTTAAAGTAGATCTGAGCTTTAAGAGAATATGGATGCAAAGAACAATACAAATCACCACAGCATGCTTTGATATTGAAATATACTTCATTTGAAAATTGGCTTAAGGCTTACTATATGAGATTTTAAACAGCAGAATAGCAGCAGAAACGGTTTGCTATGTAAAGATATAGGGGAGTCATGGTGTCCTGATCAGAGAATGAAGTCCAGTCTGGCTACACATGCAATGTGTGCATGCGTGTCCAACCAAATCAGCGTTGGTGATTGTTGGAACAGTGGAAAGAATAACAAAGAAGGTTTTGGTGAGTTTTATTTATTTTTTCTATCCACTTTGAATGAAGATGTGATGTTACAATGTGCAAGGTAAAATGATGGTTGTGTCTGTGGAGTCTGATGGTGAGCAATGATGTTATACCAAACGTCTATCTCTGGAAGGATCCTTTCCATAATGTTGTCACACACTTAGAATAACATTCTGCACATTTGTCCCCAAGGATTAGCTGACTGGTAGCCATAGCAACCTGTTTCACAGTTATTTTCTCATCTATGTTGGTGAATTCTTTATTTTGACCACATCACTGCAGTAAAACCTCCTCTGTCAGAGACTGCACATAAAAAAAGGAGGACAGGCAGGGGCCCATCTGGGTTCCATTGCATAAAGTGTGATCAGTAGTCCATGCTCTTGTCTGAGCTGCATACATCACATTCCTGAAATTCTTCAGCAGAAACCCCTTGATGAGGACCCCAACCACCAGGCCTTCAGCCCATTGCATTCACTTTTCCCTCTGCCCAGTTGGCATCGCACTGTTTTTCTAGCCTAAAATGTAGACATGTACAAGTAGCTTTATTTCTCTATAATATGTTTTGTGAAAAACTAAAATGTGTTAAATGAGAAATGTCAGGGTATTCAGGTTTAAAGGGTTATTTAGATGAACAAATAGTTTTTAATCTTAAAGAATTCAAATGAAGTATCTAATTAATGAATATTTTAGCCTTTTCAACTCCCCCGGTTTTTGTCTTTTTTGGGGGGGGAATGGATATTAAGGGGGAGACAGGAGATCAACAGCATATGGCACATAGAAGTGGTATACATCATTGTAAATCTGAGAACCTGGAGATGTATAAGGGCTTAGAACATTACGGTTGAAGTGCTGTATATGATGGCCATTCCCATGCTCAGTTATTTCTCTTTAGTTGCTGCAGCTGAATTTGGGTTGATACCATTTGTTACACAGATGTATTGCAAAATCTATACATTGTTTGAACAATGAGCATTTTTTTGGAACTAAAATCCCTCCAAAATACCACATTAAAAGACCAAGACCTTGAGGATCACCTTTGGAAAAAGCCATGCTGTGATTTGGTATCAAAAGCTTTTGACATTTGGGATATTTCTGTAAGAATTGCATTTTTCTGCGATTCGATGGCGAGCACTTCTGTTCCAGAAATTGCTCAGAAACCCCATTACAGCAATATATTTAGGAAAGCCATCGTTCTCTAGTTGGTCCTTGAAGAGTTTCATCAGGCTGTGATCAGTCTAGAGGTCACAATAGGTCATTTTATGCAGTGATCACATCATTACACATAAATCCAGTTGGAATCCACACAAGAAT